GAAGAGCAGATTTCTCCAGCCCCTGTTTTTGATGTTTTTTTTTTTTTTTAACACACTATAGATCTAACCAACGGTATAGTGTTATTTGCTTGTTTGCTTTCTTATTTACCTGTTTGTTTTTGGGACAGTTTCAGGTAGCCCAGGCTGGCCTCAAACTTGCTAGATTGCCCAGGATGACCATGGACGCCTGATCTTGTAGCCTCCATTTCTCCTGTGCTGGGATAACAGGCCTGAACCGGCCTTTGAGGTTTGTGTAGTGATGGGGGATCGAACCCAGGACTTTGCCAATGCTGGGCAAATGTTCCAGCAACAGAGCTATTCTGCAGCCATTACTTGATCTCGTTAAGACAGTACCTTGCTGAGTAGCCCAGCTGGTCTCTAACTTTTCGTCCCCTGGTCTCAGACCCTGGAGGGCTGGCATCTGGGTCTGGGCCTCCATACCTTAGTTAGGATTGTGAAGTCATTACAAGCCACCACCTTGTTGGGCTTCAATGAGACATCACTGCTCTCCCTCACACTTCTTTTTTTTATTTTTGAAACAACCTTATTTACATACAATCCCAGTTCCTTCTCCCTCTCTTCCTTCCACTACCCCCACCGTCTCCCCATGGAGGCCTCCCATGGGGGATCACCAAAGTCTGTTACATCACACAGGCCCTCCCCCTGTATCTAGGGTGAGCGAGTATCTGTCCGTAGGGAGAATGGATGGTTCATGTACTGGGGATAAACACTGGTTCCACTGCCAGAGGCCCCATAGGCTCTCCAAGGCCCCCAACTGACGCCCATACTCGGGGTGCCTGGTTCAGTCCCATGCTGGTTCCCCAGCCATCAGTCTGGGGTCCATGAGCTCCCACTTGCTTAGGTCAGCTGTGTCTGTGGGTTTCTCCAGCCTGGTCTTGACCCCTTTGCTCATCACTCCTCCCTCTCTGCAGCTGGACTCCAGGAGTTGGGCTCAGTGTTTAGATGTGGATCTCTGCTTCTGCTTCCATCAGCTACTGGATGAAGGCTCTAGGATGGCATTTAAGGTAGTCATCAATCTCGTTATGGGGAAGGGCTGTTAAGGTGGCCTCTCCACTATGGCTTGGATTCTTCCTTGGGGTCATCCTTGTGGATTGCTGGGAATTTCCCTAGTGCTAAGTTTCTTGTTACCCCCATAATGGCTTCTTCTACCAAGGTATCTCTTTCCTCCCCCCCCCCCTCTCTCTCTGTCTCTGTCTCTGTCTCTCTCTCTCTCTCTCTGTGTTCACATTTATTTTTGTGTCTGGTCTGCTGTGATTTCCTACAGGCTCCATTAAACCCGGGGGGGGGGGGAGTCTGTCAAGTGTCCACGTGTGATTACAACGGTCATTTGGATGTCCTAGAAGGGCAGGGAGCCCCTGAGGGCCATCACACCTCTCCTGGGCTTCCTAAGGCCCGGATGCTGAGGCCTGCATGACCACGGGACCAGGTTGCCCAGGTGTAGGCGGAACAGAACGGCACTGTCAGTCTGGCTGAGCTGCCCCCCCCCCGCATAAGCATCTCTGCAGTGTGCCCATTTTCTCTGCTTGCCAACACTTTCTAATTCGCGCTAATCGGCTAAACTGAATCTATATTTAGCTCCGTCTTGCGCTACCCTGGGCATCACTCCTTTACCTCAGGCCATTAGGTCACAGAGGGATGGCGCTCGGGAGTAAGTGGACCGGTTCTCAAGTCTTTGGAAGCAAGGATGAGCATCCCGGGCGGAGGAAACACTGGAGGGGGATCGTACAGGATCCACGTTATGGACTGACGGCTGTCTGTGGTCAGTGTGTCCGCGCCTCCACCCCGAAAACATTTCAGTACTCTTTCTGGTGAGAAGCCAGTGTGCATACCTAAGTCCAGTTCATTTGGTGGAAGTCCTACCGCTAATCCAGCCGCAGTGCCCCACGCTGCAGACATCTTTTCGCTGTGTATCTGTCTGTCCACGGCCTGTCCCAGTGGACACGTTGGGATGGCCTAGTAGAAGAGGTATCCGTGAGGGCGCGGGGTCGGGTCCGGTGTGTCCCACTGTCCCCCATCCCGGGGCCTCCACTCCGGGCCGGGTGAGTCAGCCCCGGGCGGCTCCCGCGTCATCCCGGCCGCTCTGCTCCGCGCTATTTCGGGCTCCGGGCGCTATAAATAGAGGTTCTCACAGCCTAGGCGAGCCGCCCCCCTCTCTGCTCGGGCCCCCTGCGTCCCCAGCCCGCCGCGATCGCCGTCACCACGGCTAAGTTTAGAGGCGGGTGGGGACGCCGGCCTGGTCACTGCGCCCCTCCCCTACCTCCCCACCGCGGAGGGCGGAAGCTTTGAGGGTCTCCAGCTGTCTGTCCAGTTACTTTTTGGTCCCCCCATTCCCCATCCCTTCTGGAGTGCAGAGGGGAAACCAAGCTGATACAACAGGAGGAACAAGCTCAGGAGGAGACCTGGACCGGGATGCTAAGTGAGGAAAGTGGGATCATTTGAACTCAAAGCCCCAGCAGTGGCAGGCTCTGGATTTGGGCATGCAGGACTCAATGCAGAAACTGAGCATGGAAAGCAAACCTAGGGATGATAAAGAACCAAGAGCAACTTTTCCCGCCCTAGACTAGTACAAACGACTCAAAGTCACAGCCGTGGGCGGCCGGGACGCAGGTTGGCTGCGATAGGGATGCGCATCGCCTTCTCGCTGGGTCCTGAGCATTCCTCGTGGTGCAGCCCAAGCCGCTGGGGACTCCTCTAGCAGGGAGCTGGCGGCCCCTGGCGGTAGAGCCGAGAGTTGCAGAATCAAGGGCTGGGGATACCCGCACCCCCACACACACACGTGGGAGAAACTGAGTTAGAATTCTGCTTGGCTTGGCATCTCAGACACGCTCTCTGACATTTCGTTTGGATTCACAGGCACGTGTCCTGACGCTTTATTTTAAAAATGGCGTGCAATTCTATTTTGTTTTCTACGCATGAGGGTTTTGTGTTCCTGCTGCCTGTGGAGGTCCTCTGGAAGGTTTGAGAAGGTTGTGAGCTGGGAATCGAACCCTCCGGGAGAGAGAGCCGTCAGGACTCCTAACCGCTGAGCCATCTCTCCAGTCCCTGGTCCTTTTATAACTCACTGTTGTAGACCAGACTGACCTGGTACACTCACAGAGACCCGCCTGCCTCTGCCTCTCGAGTGTTGGGATTGAAGACGTGCACCAATCAGTAGTCAGGGTTGTTTTTTTGTTTTTCCAGGGTCTTGTGGCAAAAGCTAGTTTGGAACTTGCAGTAGTCCTCCTGCCTCGGTTTAAAAGTACGCTAGTGGTTGTCAGCACACACTGCTATTTTACTGTGTCCTTTTAACCTCAGCAAACGATTCCAGGTAGGGAAACTAAGTAGGGACTCGCCTCGCAAGAGCTGGGTTTCTGTGGCTTCTGCACACAACACGCGGCTCAGGCGGGCCCTCTGGAGGCCGGGCTTGTGAAGGGCCCTCTTACTCGGTGGTCACTCAACTCTTCATTTCCTGTACGAGTAGGCTCATCGGCTACTTACTACTTTTTCCTTTCCCTTCCTTCCTTCCTTCCTTCCTTCCTTCCTTCCTTCCTTCCTTCCTTCCTTCCTTCCTTCCTTCCTTCCTTCCTTCCTTCCTCCCCCTCTCTTTCTTTCAGACAGGATCTCACTTTGTAGCTCTGACCTGGAAATCACTCTGTAGACTAGGCTGACCCTGAACTCACAGAGTTCGCCTGCCTCTGCCCCCTAGTGCTGGGATTAAAGGTGTGCGCCACCATGCCCAGTTATTAATTGTTAGTATTTTCTGCTGTATATCATAGCTCCAAAGGTGTGGGGTGTGGCTCGGTGGTATCCCCCTGCGTACAATGCCCAGCATACATACATCATAACAGGGAAAGCATTAAAAATACACAGCAGCCGGGCGTTGGTGGCGCACGCCTTTAATCCCAGCACTCGGGAGGCAGAGGCGGGCGGATCTCTGTGAGTTCGAGGCCAGCCTGGTCTACAGAGGGAATTCCAGGACAGCCTCCAAAACAATACAGAGAAACCTTGTCTCGAAAAAAAAAAGCAGATTTCATATTATAACTTTAGGGCATGTTCTCCCTCAACATACCAAGACCAAAGGGAAAACATGTTGATAAATACAAGCAAAAACGGAGAATCCCCAAAGTTTGAACCAGGAGGAAACATTTGCAGTCTATGGAAGTGACTAACAGAACCGATACCCAAGCATCCCTCCAATAAATGGGCAGTAATAAAAAGATGCTCATCTTTGCCTCCCCTTTTTAATTTTAAAAACTGTTTAATTGAATTGCTCATTTTGAAAAAATGGGCAAAGGATATGAGCCAACCTTTTTTTTAAAAAAATGGGCAAAGGAAATGAGCAAGAACTCAAAACATAAGACCATTAAACTCACAGAACGGTGCCCTATTTCCTTAGCAATCAGAGAAGTACAAGTTGAAACAGGGTGAAATTCTCCTTTCAGGAAATGAGTAATACTCAGTCATCCGTCGTCGGGCCCCAGGTCTCTGGGCTCAGATGTCCCTTCCTTCAGGAAGCCGGTTCTGACACCCAGGCTGGGTCAGGTGCTGTCCCTAGCCAGGTCTCAGTGTCCTCCGGGCTGTCCCATCCCGGCCCTGCCCCTTCTAGGCTGCCCTGTCTGGGTGGGACCATGTGTGACTGTCCCACTGGACTGTGAGCCCCAGGGAGGTCAGAGCTGTCGCTTGCAGCCACTGTCTGGCATGCAGGTGAGTGAGTCAGTGTCAGCGGGCCGGGGTTCCAGCCGAGTCCACCCACATGGACGGGGAAGGCGTTCTTGGGTTTCCCGCCTCCCCGCCTCTCTTTTTCCCATCCCCGAGCCCCCGTCTGGGACCTGGGGACACAGGAAGCACTCAGCAGGGCCTCGTGAGCGAACCGCTCGCCTTCAGAGACTCCTGGGTACCCAGGTTCACGCCCCCTCTCCGCCCCAAACCTCCACGGTCCTCCAGGACCATAGAGAGCGGCGCCCAGACGGTGCCTCTCCGCTCCGCCTCCCCTGGGGAGCAGCGAGACGAGCGAAGGGCCAGAGCGGCCGGAAGTGAGTCCAGCCTGGGGTAGTGCTGGCCGCGCTGGCGGTGCGCCGCCTCTATCCCCCTCGCGGTAGTTGCTGCTCGGCCTCGGGAAAGGGTGAGTTCGACGGGGCTCAGACCCCGGGGTAGAGCCCAGAGGGGCGGGGGAGAGGGCGAAACGGAGGCCGCGGGTTGATGATTGGTAGAGGCAGAGGCCAATCACAGCCCAGGCCGAGACAAGGCCGACACTGGGCGGTGCCGGGGCATCCAGGTGAGCCTCTGGGGGCGGGGCCAACCGGCCCTGAGCCGGTGTGGGGCGGAGCAATGCGGCAATGGGCGGGGCTGCGGGTTCGTGGACCAATCCGGAGTGGGCAGGTTGAAAGGGGCGGGCTCACGGGGCGGGCTGCGGGAACCTAACGCGGCTGGAGCCCTGCAACCTTTTGGGCTGCACCGTCGTGGCCGACTTTCCCGTTAGAAGATGGGAATGCCAACCTGGATGTCGCCACGCCCCTCACGCCCCAGATGGACCTCGGGAAAGACGAGGGAAGTCTGCCGCCGCCCTCAGGGCCGCCCACCAGGAAGAAGTTTGTCATCCCCCTGGAAGAGGAGGTCCCTGCTGCAGGGGTAAGGGCGAGGACTTGGGGGCTGCTGGGGGTCGAGGGAACAGTAAGGGACCCCTGGGATCACGGTGTGAGTTCAGCAGTCTTTGAGGTTTGAGCTGCTTTGGAAAAACAGCCTGCTGGCCTCGACAAGCCTCGGTTTCCCTGTCTGTAAAATGGGATGGCAGGGTGGTTAAGAGAGGGCTAAGTTACAAGCTGTAGGCTGGCAGCTAGCCAGTGGCCAGTGACGGTGTCTGTTTAGTTTTGGTCTTGAGGTTGGGTCACATGTTTCCTGGGCAACCGTTAAACCTAGTATGCGGCTGAGGCTGTGAGCCTATTCTTCCCACCTAACCTTCCAAGTGCTGGGATTACAGAACTGGACCATGCCGTTTGTTCTTGAGATATTTACTGTTTTATGTGCGTCGATGTTTAGCCTGCACATATGTCTGAGCATGCATGCATGTAGGCCTGCAGAGGCCCGAGGCTGGCATTGCACCCCCTGAACTGGAGAGAGAGAGAGTGTTGGGAGCTGCCATGCTGGTGCTGGAACCCAGGTCCTCTTTAAGAGCAGCCAGTGATCTGAACGGCCAAGCCGCCGCTCCAGCCCCTAAAACACTTATGGTGCGTGTACACCTGTGGGTGTGTGCCACGGAGCTTCTGTGAGGGTCAGATGGGTGACTTGTGGCAGCTGGTTTTCTCCTTGCTCTGTTTGAACAGAGGTCATCGAGTTTGGTGGCCGTCACCTTTACCCACCAGGCCATCTCTCCAGCCATTTTTCCTCCTCCCTCCCCCTCTCCCTCCTCCCCCCTCCTTCCCTCCCCCTCTCTCCCCCCTCCCTCCCTCCCCTCCCTCCTCCCCCCTCCTTCCCCCTCTCTCCCCCTCCCTCCCTCTCTCCCCCTCCCTCCCGCCCTCTTCCCCCTCCTTCCTCCCCCTCTCCCCCCTCCCTCCCTCTCTCCCCCTCCCTCCCGCCCTCCTCCCCCCTCCTTCCCTTCCCCCTCTCTCCCCCCTCCCCCCCTCCCAGACAGAACATTGCTATGGTAGGCCTGCCTGACATACAAGTCGCAGCAATCCTCCTGCCCCATCTCCAGGTACTAGGGCATCACTGGTGTGCTTCACCACAGCGATCTCTGCTGTGTGTTTTCCAAGACCTACTACGGTTTTCAGGATCGGGATTTACATCTGACATTGCTTGTCATTCTGTGTGTCGGGTGTACCTGCCATGGCACTTGTGTGGAGATCAGGGGGCAGCTTTGGGGAGTTAGTTCTTTTCTCCCACCACGTAGCTCTCAGGCATGAGGTTGTCAAGCCCAGCCATCTCCCTCGGCGTTGGTGGCCCACAGCTTTAATTCCAGCACTCGCAAGGCAAAGGGAGGCGGATCTTAGTGAGTTCCAGGCCAGTCTGGGCTAGAAAGTGAGTTCCAGGACAGAGACGCCCTGTATCGAAAAAGAAAAAAAAAAAAAAGAATTGAAAGCTTATATATTTTAAGAAAGAAAAATCAGGGTCCTGGAGAGATGGCTCAGAGGTTAAGAGCACTGGCTGCCCTTCCAGAGGTCCTGAGTTCAATTCCCAGCAACCACATGGTGGCTCACAGCCATTTATATAGGAGCTGATGCTGTCCCTCTTCTGGTGTGCAGGCAGAACACTGTATACTTAATAAATACATAAAAAAAAGGAAAAAGAGTCCCAGGAAGAGCAGTGGGGCTGGAGGAGAGGGAGACAGGCGCAGCTCACACAGGTGTCTCCCAAGGCGGGGCTGCAGGGGCAGACCTAGCTCTGTTAAGTTTTCTTTTAGACAGGGTCTCAGGTAGCCCAGGCTGGCCTGAACCTTACCACATCAGTGAGTATGACCTGAACTTGTGAGCCTCCTGCCTCTGCCTCCCGAGTGCGGAACGATGTGTGTACGCTATTCTGCCTGGCTCACCAGAGCTTAGGCAGGCACTGCACCCACCGAGCCAAAATCCCAGCCCTCGTTTGGAGTTCTTAGCCCCTGAAAGCATCTGGAAGAAGGGTGAGAGTCAGAGGAGGGGGAGGGTTCCAGCGTTCCTTCACAACCCCGAGCTTCCTTTCTCTCCACAGGCCAAGCCCTTATTCAGATCCTCACGGAACCCCAGCACCTCGGCAGCCTCGGTCCCAGCGGCTCCTCAGACATACGCCGAGTATGCCATTGCCCAGCCTGCAGGAGGGCCGGGGGCCACTGGGCCCACAGGCTCTGAACCTGTTAAGGGAGAGAACTCCAGCCAGACCCTGAAAACAGGAACGAAATCCAACAGCATCCTCGTGAGCCCCCGGCAGGTGAGGGGGAGCTGGCGTGCTGGGCGTTTCTGGTGGGAAACCCCATTCCAGGGATCAGTGTTGGGATCAGCGGAAGGAGGTCTGAGGCGCATATGCCGTTCTCAGAAGCAGTGTTTGTTCATTCCTTCACTCATAAGTCATCACTCCATTCGTTAATTCCTTCCCACAGTTCCCTCATTCATGCATTCATTCATGCATTCATTGATGGCTTGTGGATGAGCGCCCCAGGCCTTCCTGCCAGGCAGCTCTGCTCCTGTCCCCAGGTTTGTTCACTGAGTTAGAACCTTAGGGAGAGCACTCCATGAAACTGTGGGTGCTTGGGGATCCCACTCAGGTCTACATCTTACTGTTTTTACCACTTCACCAAATGAGCCCCATAATTATCTATTTATTTAGAGAAAGGCTCTCACTATGCAGCCCTGGTTGGCCTGAATCTCACTAAGTCACCATGCAGACCAGGCTGGCCTCAAACTCAGAGATCTGTTGGCCTCTGTCTCCTGAGTGCACCACCACACCCAGCTTTATAATGAAGGATTTTGATATCTGTGGTGGCTTCAATGAATTCACCCATCCATTCATTCCTGGGTATGTTCATTCGCTCCTTTGTCTATGCGTTAACTCTTCTATGCATTTAATGCCTGGAGTGTCATGGCACAGGAGAGGGCCCCCACACCCCCACCCTCCACCCTCTGGGACCACCCACGCACCCAGCTACAAGGAAGCTCTTTTTTTTTAAAGATTTATTATGTATACAGTGTTCTGCCTCCATGTATGTCTGCATGTATGTCTCCATGTCAGAAGAGGGCACCAGATCTCATTACGGATGGTTGTGAGCCACCATGTGGTTGCTGGGAATTGAACTCAGGACCTCTGGAAGAGCAGTCGGTGCTCTTACCTCGGAGCCATCTCTCCAGCCCTACAAGGAAGCTATTGAACTTGGTGCTTTTGGGTCATGGCCGATGATGTCATAGGCTCGGCTGGTGCCATCCCTAACTATTGGCCTACACTCAGCCTTGAGCTCCTCCCTTCGTGGAGGTGGGGCACAGTCCCAGCCCTGAATTCTGAGCATGGGTCCCTGTGTACCGGTATCTGTTCTGGACCAAACAGGAGCCACTCTGAGTCACCCGGGACAACACAGGGTGTTCCCGTCCCTCAGGAATTCCACAGGACTTAGGAAGTCCATGCCAGATGCTATCTGTCACTCAGGAAATTCCACAAGTCTTAAGAATCGGGGTCAAGGTGCATGTAGCAGAACCAAAGGCTGCCTTTGTGTCCCGTCCACAAGGGCTTCAGGAGAGCCAGATCTGGAACCAGGGGTCAGAGTCCAGATGATCACAGAGCCTGGTCACTGCTGTGTACCCGGCATGGATCAGAGCTTGACTTGTCCAAACAGTCTCGGTCCCAGGCTGTCGAGGTTGTCAGGGAGCACCGGAGGGAAACTGGAGAGGACATGTTCAATAGCCTGCTTCATTCTGGGGACACTGGGGGGCCATAGCCGAGCTTAGCTGATGCCTCTGGTTATCATTTGCAGGGTGGCCAGGAGGCAGTGAGGGGATGCTGACACAGGGTGCAGATTCCACCACAGGGGGGGAAAGAGGTGCAGGACAGGCATGGAAGCCGGGGCCTCCCCGGAGGGACAAGTATGGATGCTGCTGAGGTCACAGTGAGAGCTGGCATTCAGCAGACAGCAGGAGGGATTGACGCTGGGACGGAGGCTGAAGTCTGTGGGTTGTGATCCTGGGGAGGGGAAGAGCCAGCCCTGAAATCCCCGGCTTTAGGGTGGGAAGGGGGAGGGGAGGGGCTGGCCACTTCTTAGTCCAGGTGCTACCCCATACGCGGCTTCTGCCTGTCTCCCTTGGCAGAGGGGCAACCCTGTGTTGAAGTTCGTGCGCAACGTGCCGTGGGAATTCGGTGAGGTGACCCCTGACTACGTGCTGGGCCAGACCACCTGTGCCCTTTTCCTCAGGTAAGCTCCAGGGGCTCCGATGTCCTGTCGCACAATTTCGGCACTTTGAGCCGTTCTGTGGGCAAGTTGTGGTTCAGTGTCCTGGGCTCTGGGCCTGTGAATGGCTGTGTTGCAGAAGGGTTTGTGGCATGTAATCATCCAGGTTGTGAGGGGAGAGGGGCTGGACGCTGGATCTGAAGAAGGGAGGCTGGACTTCTGTATCTGAGAAGGGAGACCTGGGCTCCATATTCCTGGCTGAAGGAGAAGGGTGGGGTCCTGACTTGAGGACAGTAGTCAGTGTCCTGCCCAGAACACCACAGCCAGGTTGCCCTTACCTGCCATAATCCTAACTTGAAATCCATCCCTGTTGGTTGACTTCCCTGGGCCCTGGCAATATGCTGGCCCCTTGCTGTGCTAATGGGTCTCAAGTTGTGCATGCCAGTGAGATGCATAAGGCTGCCTGTGCCTCGGAGACATTGGGACCCTCATACGTGTCCCCTTCCCTGTGTCCGCCAGCCTCCGCTACCACAACCTCCATCCAGACTACATCCACGAACGGCTGCAGAGCCTGGGGAAGAGCTTTGCCCTGCGTGTGCTGCTGGTCCAAGTGGACGTGGTAAGCAGGGCTGTCGTGGCTGGCCTCCCTCTCTCCATGCAGCTGCAGCGTGGAGTTAATACATGGGCTGCTGAATCCCTTTTAAGACAGAATCCCTAAAACCTCGAGGAAGAATGGATTTTCAGCTGAGATTGCTACGGGTCTCGGGAAAGCCTGCATGAGCTGGGAATGGAAGGGAGCCTTGCTAGAATCAGACATGATGGTGCATCCTCGTCATCCAATCTCAGCACTCTGGAGGCTCCTGAGCCAGCCTGGGCTACAATGGGACTTAGACTCAAATAAAAATAAAAGATGGGATTTCTAGCTCAGCAGGAGAATCTCCCAGTGAGGGGCTGGGGTGGGGCTCCATGGAAGAGCCCCTGCCTAGAATGTACTAGGCTTGGTCCACAGTACTGCAAGAGCAAAAGCTTGCCCCAGGCCTCTTCACCTAATCCCTGGCCTTGACCTAAATATCTCTTATTTCTTGTTCATCTGTTACCACAGCCTCTCATGTCAGATTCAGTTTCTCCCTGTCACCACCATTTATTTAGGGATTTTTTGTTGTTGTTTGTTTTTTCGAGACAGGGTTTCTCTGTATTGTTTTGGAGGCTGTCCTGGAACTCGCTCTGTAGACCAGGCTGGCCTCGAACTCACAGAGATCCGCCTGCCTCTGCCTCCCAAGAGCTGGGATTAAAGGCGTGCACCACCAACGCCCAGCTCTTTTTTTTAACAAAGTCTCACAACAGAGCCTAGGCAGCTAATCTAGAACTTTATATATCGCCCAGGACAGCGTTGAACTGACAGCAGCCTCCTGTCCCAGCCTCCTGAGTCCTAGCATTAAAAGCTTAAGCCATTGTGCTCACCTCTGTTCTCTTGCTCAAAACCCTTCCTAGCTCCCTGGCACCCCCTCCTCTCTCCCATGGTGAGTGAGTAACTGTGAGATGTGACCCCCACTTGGGTCCCTGCTCTCATGTCTAAGCTTCTGTATTTGATGTTGTTTTAAAGACTTGAGAAGTATTTTTCCATTTATTGATGTGTGTGTGGACATACACATTCAAAAGTCAGAGAGCAACTTTTCGGGGATCGATTTTCTCCTCCCTTGTGGATCTTGGGGACGAGCCTCAGGGGGTCGGCCTGAAACCAGGCACCTTCAGCCAAGAGGGTGGAGACGCCCACAGCCCTGCACAGCCACTGCGATGTACTCGTCTGTTTACTGAGACAGGACCCTCACTGGAACCTGAGCCACCACATGAGATTAGCATGCCACCACATCCAGGTTTTCCGTCCGTGCCGGGGACAGAACTCGGGCCCTCGTGGCTTTACCAGCTGTGCTGTTTGTCTGTCCCTGTGTCAGCATCATCCCTGCCCTGTCCCCTGGGCCACCCCCTCCCCAGCGCTCAGCTGTAAATCCCTGCTGGCTCCCAGGTCTCTACCTCTGTCTGTCTTCTCTTCCAGAAAGATCCTCAGAAGGCCCTGAAGGAGCTGGCTAAAATGTGTATCTTAGCGGACTGCACCCTGGTCCTGGCCTGGAGGTAAGACACAGACCCGGCCCACTCCACCCGCCACCCACCCAGCCTGGGTAGGTAGTTCCTAAGCCAGGCATGGTGGCACAAGCCTATTACCCCAGCTCTGGGGAGTCAAGGCAGGCTGGTCAAGGGCACAAGGCCAGCCCGGGCTGATGAGACCAGGTGCACTGCCTCTCTCTGAGAAGATGAAGATGGGGTCTTCTCTAAGTTTTTGTTTTGTTTTATTTTTCAAGACGGTTTCTCTGTGTAGCAGTCCTGGCTGTCCTGGAACTCGATTTGTAGATGAGGCTGGCATCCAACTCGAGACCCGCCTGCCTCTGCTTCCCAAGTTAAAGGTGTGCGCCCCCACGGCCCAGCAAGTTTTTTGTAGTTATAAGCACCAAGGTGGGTGACAGAGGTCAGATATGTCCAGGTTAGACCAGATGACTGAAGGAATTCTGTATTTAGTGTTTCTGGTTTGTTGTGTCCCCCAGTCCCCATAGCCAAGGCTATCCTAGAATACAGTCTGCCTGCCTCAGCCTCCTAAGCGCTGTTATTGTGTGTGCCACCATATCTACATCTATAGAGGTCTCTAAAGGGCACACCAACAAACCCCAAGTAGAAAACACACACACACACACACACACACACACACACACACACACACACACACACACACACACACAGTTCATTTGGGGAAGAAAAAAAACACTCCTTCCTCACACCCACCATAAGTAAAATCAAACCCTGGTAAGTTAATAGCCTTCAACTTAAAGAGACAGGTCAGTGTTTGCGAGCGCTGGCTTCCTGGCAGCAAGCCCTGGTGTCTAGCGCTGTACCGCATAAACCCAGCAGAGCTGCTCACGCCTGCAATTCCAGCTGTACCTGGGAAATGGAGACAGGAGGATCAGGCAGTACAAACTTTACTAAGTCAGCAGTTCAAAGCCAGCATGGGATACATGAGACCCTGTCTCAGAGAGAAAAGACATCTTAGGCTGGGGGTGACGGGAGACATCTGTCATTCTAGCGGTAGGCTGAGGCAGGGTCAGTTCAAGGCCAGGCACAGAGACATAGTAAGACCCTGTGGTGGTAGAGAAAAGGGAGATGGGGGTGTGGCTCAGTGGTAGAGCCCCTGCCTAGAATTCCCCAGTGAGGGGCTGGGGACGTGGCTCAGTGGTAGAGGCCCCTGCCTAGAATCCCCCAGTGAGGGGCAGGGGCATGGCTCAGTGGTAAAGCCCCTGCCTAGAATCCCCCAGTGAGGGGCAGGGGCGTGGCTCAGTGGTAGTGTCTAGAACTCCATCCCAGCATGAATAAATAACATCTGTGAGAGCCTACCCTGCAGGGCTCACTGGTTGGGACAGGAGTTGGGGCTGGGGTTGGCTAGTTGTGGAACTGTTAGCAGTCCCATGAAGGAGAACCCCGAATGATAGCCTCACCCTGCTGACCTGTCCTGTACCCAGCGCCGAGGAAGCAGGGCGGTATCTGGAGACCTACAAGGCGTATGAGCAGAAGCCTGCTGACCTCCTCATGGAGAAGCTGGAGCAGAACTTCCTGTCCCGGGTGAGACACCTCCCTTGTCCTTTCAAAGCTCACCCACACCCTTGCCCTCATTCCCTGTCCAGCCCTCCCTCATCCGCGCCTTCAGCTGGAAGGCTCAAGAACAAACCAGACCTTGTCCCTCAGCCCTGACTTCCTCGCCTGCCCTCAGCATCTACCATCCCTCTGCTAGAATCTAATTTCCCATGCCAGCTCTGATGCCACCTCCTCCAGGAAGCCTTCCTTCATCCTCTCAGCCCAGAGTGCCAGGCTGGAACCATCCTGACCTTACCGTGACTGCAACGCTATGCAGCACTGTAGCCGTTGGGATGTTATTTTGTGAATGAACTGATGATTTCCCATGCTCATGAGGGACTCTGCATTTGCTTCTGGAGTTTTCCTGGGAAGTGACCCAGCCCCACAGCTGCACCCCCTTCCCACACTGGGCACATTGGCTCCAGAAGCCCCAGGAAGGGTCTCCCCTTACCCCAGGGGAAGCAGAGGGAGAGACTCAGCTGACAGCCAGTGTGACCCGATCCTGCCCACCCAGCCATTTAAATGGCTTTAATCCTAGCACTAGAGAGGCAGAGGCAGGGGGATCTCAGCAAGTTCAGGCCAGACTGGTCTACAGAGCGAGTTGAGACCGTCCTGGTCTTCCTAATTGTAGGCTAGTCAGGCTTACATCTAGAGACCCTGTCCCAAAAGGTGAGTCACCCAGGGTGGGTGCTGGGAACTGAACCTGGGTCCTTTGGAAGTGCAGTGTGGGCTCTTAATCGATGAGCCATCTCTCCAGCCCCCTTTCTGTTTCTGGAGACAGAATCTCCCTGGGCCCTGCAGGCCTGAAAATGGCTGTGGACCAGGCTGGCCTCAAACTGGCCTCTCCCTGCAGCTGCCTTCTAAGCAGTATTCACAGGCTGTCCCGATACCCAGGTCCTAAAAAATATCCTGTCTCTCCCACCCAGGCCACCGAGTGTCTGACCACCGTGAAGTCAGTCAACAAGACCGACAGCCAGACCCTCCTGGCTACATTTGGAGTAAGAGGCCCCCTGGGTATCCCCTCCTGACCTCCCCAGGGGCGTCCTGGGCCCCCTACAGCAGGGACGGGCTGGGGTAGAGCCACTGCCCTGATGTCTCGGTCCCATCTTTCAGTCCCTGGAACAGCTCTTCACTGCCTCACGGGAGGACCTAGCCTTGTGCCCCGGCCTGGGCCCCCAGAAGGTGAGAGCTCTGGGGGGACACTGCAGGGGCGAGGGTGAGCCCCAAATCAATGAACATTACACCTTGAAGGGCTATTAAATCAGTGGTTCTCAACCTGAGGGTCATGACCCCTTGGGAGGTCACCCAGAACCATCAGAAAATACAGATGATTTTATGGTTGGGGTCATCACAACGAGGAACTGTATTAAAGGCCACAGCACTAGGAAGGTTGAGAATTACAAGGTTGTTTTTAGACAGGGTCTGAATGTAGCGCTCTGGCTGGCCTGGAGCTCACTGTAGACCAGGGAGGGCCTGAACTCCGCCAGCTCCACTGGGCTCTGCTGCCATCATCGGCTTGAGTCACCATGCTTAGCTTAAACAGCTCCATACAAGCTTTCTCCTGGGGGCTGAGAATGAATGTCGCTGAGTTGGTAGAACGCTTTCTTCTTTTTATTTTTTGGTTTTTCGAGACAGGGTTTCTTTGTGTTGCTTTGGAGCCTGTCCTGGAACTCGGTCTGCAGACCAGACTGATAGAATGCTTTCTTAGCATTCACAAATCCCAGCTGACACCAGCACTGTCTGACTAAGCATGGGGGGCACTCAGAGCAGCCCGTGAGTCCTGGATAAGGCAGGGGGCCGTAAGTTCAAAGTCATCCTTGGCTAAACAGCTAGCCGGACCAGCCTAGGATTCTGACACTGTGTTTCAAACATGAATAAGGTTGTTTGTTTCTTTTACTTGATTTTTTTTGAGACTGTCTCATGTAACTCACGCTGGACTTAATATAAGGCCCCAGCCTCCCAAGTGTTGAGATTACAGTGTGTATTTACTTATTTGAGACAGTTTCTCTGCATAGCCTAGGCTGTCCTGGAACTCGCTCTATACACCAGGCTGGCCTCGAACTTAAGAGATCCACCTGCCCCTGCCTCCCAAGTGCTGGGATTAAAGATGTGGCCACCACAGTGGGCTAGTTTTATTGTTCTAAATGATTGGCTTACATCTGCCTCTCATACACATATGGGGAAACTGAGGCCCAAAGGGTGGGTGGGAGCCCCGTCTCCGGGCCAGTCTCAAGTAGAAACCTAGGATAAAAGAGCCACATGGGCGCTCTAAGCAAACAGCCTTTAATGACAAACTCTTTCTCTCCCGGCCCTTAGGCCCGCAGGCTCTTTGACGTCCTCCACGAACCCTTCCTCAAAGTGCCCCGATGACCCGCTGCCCGAGCTCCAGTGTCACAATAAAGCATTTTCCAGGCCCCTGCTGGGTGTGCTGGCATGTTCTCCTTCCTGGGCCCCGTGAGCCCCGCTAGTTCCTCAGTTTCCCCAGGGTGCTTTTAGGGCTCTTCTGCTCTGTCTCCTGTCCCGCGGTAGGTATCTCCCAGTGGGGGACGGTGCCTTACACCCCACTTCCCTGATCCTTCCTCTGCTTCTTCTTTTTCTTTGTGGTCCCTTGAACGGCCTCGGGCTCCTCAGACTCTCGTGGGTCCGTCACCTCAGATGGGGGCTCAAAGTCAGCGGGAAGTGCAGCCTCTGTCACCTCGGTGCCCAAGGCCAGCTCCTCACCCAGCCGCTTTTCCTTCTTCCTCTTCTTTGTTTTCTTGGGGGACACAGGAGCTGCCTCGGCCTGAAGCCCGTGTCCGGAAAGTTCAGGCTCTGTCACCACTCCAGGGAGCCCCGCCTCTGGCTTCACTACCAAATCCTGCCTCTTTTCTTTCCTCCTCTTCTTTGTGGGGGGCAGTGGGATGGCTTCCTCCTGGGGTTCCACAGGGACCTGTGACGGAGAGTCAGCCATGGTGTCCTCGGCTGCCTCCATCCCTTCAGGCTCCTCCCGCCTCTTCCTCTTCTTGGTGGGGGACAGGATGGTCCCTTCAGGAGGCTGCGTCTCAGCCTCAGGCTCCGTGGGCCCCAGCTCCTCTTGTGGCTGGAATGTCTCTGCCCCCCTGGACCTGCTCCTCCTGCTCTTCTTCTTGTTTCCGGTGGCAGATGGGAATGGTGGTTCCGAAGGCTCCACCGTCTCTGCCAGGGGCTCTGCTGCTTCCATCGTCTCTACCTCACCCGCCTGGTGCTTCTTCTTCTCCTTCATTTCTGGGCCACCCCAGGCTGTGTCTCCCTCCATGGCTCCGTGCCCGTGCGCTGCCTCCTGAATGGCTGAGGCCTCTGCGAGCTTTCTCTTCTTTTTCTTCTTCCCTGAAGTGGACGACCTCAGAGGCATGACGGACCCAGGGCCCGTGACAGGAGGGCTCCCTCCAAAGGCAGAGAACCGAGGCCTTAGGCCATCAGGGATCTGAGGTGGCAGGCTTGTGGGAATGGGCTGCAGAGGGACCCGAGAGATAAGAAATTCTTGAAGGCCCTCCATGATCCGTAAGCTTCCATGGGGGGCTGGGCCACAGGTGAGTTTCCCTCCGGCCTCTGCTGACGAGGCCAGCAGGGTGGCTTCTCCGGCCTGGGGGCTGCTGGTAAGGACCCTGTATCGGCACTTCCTGCCATCCAGTTTGCCCTTGACAGTCTTTGAGCCGGAGAGAGGCACGCGCCGCCCATTGAGGCTGAGGAAAGAGGAGAAGGCAGAGGCTAGCTAGATCCTTTGCCAGGAGGACGGGGCTCGAAGCAGCTTTCTGGGCTGGGGTGCAGCTCAGCGCTAGAGCCCTGGGTTGTTTCCTGCTTCAACCAACCAACTTCTGTCGTGGGGGTTTGTGTGACGCCCAGAACTCCTCATCAGCCTGCATCACCCCACGTACTGCAGACAGACATGTGCCACCGCTCCTGGCTTGCTTTTTATTTTTTGGGTTTTCAAGACAGGGTTTCTCTGTGTGGCCCTGGCTGTGCTGGAACCAGGCTGGCGGGGAGCTAAGAGATCCACCAGCCTCTGCCGACTGAGAGCTGGTTAAAGGTGTGTGCCACCAGCGCCTGGTTCCTAGCTGTTTATTTTTTTAGAGAGGGTTTCTTTGTGTAGCCCTGGCTGTCCTGGAACTCCTTCTGTAGACCAGGCTGGCCTTGAACTCACAGAGATCCACCTGCCTCTGCCTCCGAGTGCTGTGATTAAAGGCGTGAGCCACCACCTACCGGCCTGTTTCTTGAGACAGACTCTGTGTGAAGCTACCTTGGTATGATAGCCTTGGAGCCTACAATTTCCTGCTTCAGCCTCCTGAGATTAGGCTAAGTAATGTTTAAGGTGGGCAGACAGGCAGGCAATGATGCTCAGACACGGAGTGTGTGTCTGGCATGAACGAGCCCTGGATTTGATCATTTCACTACATAAAACTGGACACGGGGGATGTACTACTTAGGTGGAGGCGGGGGACCTGAAGTTTAAATACTACATGGGACGTAAGACTCTCCAAACAAAAGAGAGCATGTGACACCCACGTGTAGCCCCAGTACTCAAGAAACTGAGGCTGGGGGATTCTGGGACTTAGAAACCAGCCTGGGCTACAGAATGAGGCTGTTTCAAAACAACACAGAGCAGCGTTTCCGGGCTGCTCAGAAATTAAGTTCTAGGTCCCGGTGTGTGTGTGTGGGGGACAGGGTACCCCAGTAGGTGGCCTGGGACCACTCACCACTGTGGGGCGAAGTCCGCAGGGGCTCGGATGAGCCACACTTCTGTATCCGGGAATGTCAGCGCCTCCAAGGAGAAACGAGGGGGGTCCGCGTCTGGAGACACCGCCGTAAAGTTGGGGGGGCAGGAGAACCGAGCGGCACCTGTGGGGAGAAGGGCGCAGGGTCCTTGCGGCGCCGCCATCCTCGCAAGGCGGGTCCCTCGCCTTCGCCTCCCGCGGCGTCCCTCCCCTCCGGGAGCCGCCCCTCCGTCCCCCGGGCCCCCTTCCCCGCCATCCGCCCCCGCTCCGCTCCGCTCACCCGAGGCCTGGCCGCCCGCCATGCCGGCTCCGGAGCAGCCCACGCGGGACCGGTGCTCGGCGCGGCCTGCCCACCACGTGGGCCCGGGAGGTGGAGTCGCACCCGGAAGCGTCCAAATCGCCGGGGTGGGGTGGGGGCGTGGCTCGGCCCCTGTCCCTCTGCTTACGGGACCCGGCCGGTGATTGGCGCTTCTGAAGCGCACACAGCGGAGGAACGACTGATTTCCCAGCCGTCCACTCCCGGGGGAACCCAATCCCGTTTGTCGGGAACGCAAGCCGGCTCGGATCTCGGAGGGACCCGAGCTTTGCTCACGTGGTCTCTCCCAACGCCGTCTTAAAGGGGCCGCGGCTCTTAAAGGGACAGGCGTCTGTTGTGCGGGCGTCCACGTGAGAGCCCGGGGAGGATTCCGCTCGGCTGCGTCGCGCTTCCGAGGCTGGAGTGTGTCTGGGCAGGCCCCGACGCGGCGAGGGCTTGAGCGGACGGGGTCGGGAAACGGGGCGTTTAAAGCACCCAGGAGAGGCGGAGTTTCTGGAGCTTGGGGTGAGCGGGAAACCTGGGAAGGAGGAGTTTCTGGTTAAGGGGCGGAGCCTCGGGTCCAGAGGGGCGGGGTCTCGTGGTTAGGGGCGGAGTCTCGAGCCCCAGGGGCGGAGTGAACGGCAGTGGGGCGTGTGAAGAAACCCCTAGGTGTGCCCGTGGACCAAGCGTCCCGAGCGGGACGTGTCCCCGCGCCCCGAGGGAGGCAGAGCCGCCGCTGGCCGCCCCCTCCCGGCCCCGCGTCCCAAGTAAACAGCCGCACGTGGGCGCGGGGTGTGGGGGGCGCGTCCACGCCCCTTCCCAGCAGAGCCGCGGGGCGGGGGCGGAGCCGCGGGGCGGGGGCGGAGCCGCGGGGCGGGGGGGCAGAGCCGCGGAGCTGCAGAGGGGGCGGAGCCGCGGAGCTGCAGGGCGAGCGGCGAGACAGGGCGGGCCGACCGCATTCCTGGCCGGTGCGTCAGCGTCGCGTCTCGCCCCCTCCGCGGAGATTCGGGCGACTCCTCCAGAACCGGGGCGCTCTCCCTCCTCCTATGCCTTTCGAGGACTCGAGGGGGCCGGGGGGCCGGGAGCTGCGCACTCCGCGTCCTCCGCGCGCGGCCTGAGGCTCTGGGCCGCCCTCCGAGGGCTCCTGGACTGCGGTTCCCAGGGGACCCCGGGTGGCCGGCGGGGACTCCGCGCCAGCAAAGCCTGGGCGAGTTTCTGTGAGGTGCTGATTTTTGAGACGTGGTCTTACTATGTAGCCCAGGATAGCCCCGAACTCGCAGAGATGCCCCCGATTCAAATCCCCGACTCTAAATCCCCGATTCAAAACCCTTATTTTTATTTTTTACTTTATTTAAACAGGTAGGCCGGGGCTCGGAGCCCTGATTAAGACGGACCCTTTTCTCGGCATAGTATTGGACCGTGTAAATTTCTCCCTGCCCTGGGAAACTGAGTCAGGAGGCGTGGGGAACGACTAAGGAGCTCTTCCCCTGCACCCACGGTGAATGGGGGTGTGGACTCCTGTGCATTTCGCCGCCCAGGGCACCCTCGATCTTCTGGTCCTCGCTCTTGCCGTCTGTGAAATGGATCGCGCCTGACTCCAAATGGCAATGTGCCTGGCTGCGCCCCGGCCCTCCAGGACTACAAATCCCAAGATGCTCCAGGCGACCGCGGCTCTCCCTCCCCTGCGGGACACGCCTCCCTCCAGCCCGAGTCACGTCGTCTAACCTGTTCCCCTGCGACTGCCCCGCCCCGTCCTCCGCTCCCCGCCGCCGGAGCCGGAGCCCGAGGAAAAGCCCCCTGGTGCCAGGATCTGCCCCGGACGCGTGAGTTCCACCCCACCTGGGGTCTAGCCACCCCAGAACCAGACGCCGCGGCCCTGGGGAGACTTGGTGGGACCCCGGGCACCTTTAGTCCCGGGGCAGACTGTGAGGTGCTCACCCCGGGTCCCCGGGATGGGGCAACTGGGGCGCAGGCTTTCCTGCGCAGGAGGATGGGGCTCGGACGCCCGCGGTCTTAGGGGCACTCGGAGCCTTTGGAGTCTTGAAACCTTTAACTGCGGACTCTGGCGAGTGTCTCGGGGATGTTGCGCTCCCGGCTCTCTGGGTTCGGGGCAGCTGTGGGAGGTTAGGACGGTCTAGAATGGCCGGGCGCCCCTTCGCCCTCCCGCTGACTTGGGCGCCGAGCCTCTAGGTCCTTGCGTCAAACCAGAGGCGCTGGGATAGTGGACCCCGGTCCTTGAAGGCAGTGAGTGGGGCCAGCACGGGGGTGGGGCGGGGCAGGGGGCGGGTGTTCTTCGGGGGGCCGTGTCCCGACGCTACACACACTACTTTCTGGTTTTGGGGTGGGGGCAGGGGGTGAGAAACCGGGGCAGCTCTCCAGCCTCCTCTGTGCCGCTGAGCGAACCCCAACATGTCATTAGCCGGGGCGTCAGACCTGCCTAACCAGAGCAGGCACAGCCTACTGAAGGCGCCCCCTAGCCGAAGCGGGGTCGGATCTCTCGTTGCCCCCACCAGGGTGGGACATTCCTGGAGTTGGCTGACATCAGTGTAGAGCCCAGGCCAGCATAACAGGACCGCGGGGATGGGCCCGGGGGGGGGGGGTTGTGTGACCCTGGCCTGCTGCGTTTGCACGGAATGGAAGGGGTAAACCGAGGCTGGTTTCCCCCTGACAGCTGTCTATGGAAGGGATTCCTCCCTCCCAGCAGATTCTTCTAACTAGCCTTCTTCCTCTCGGGGTGGGGGGTGAGAAATGTCACCTCCACTTCCATCTGTGTGACCTGGGTATTGTGGGAGATAAGGGAGGGATAGAGGCTAATTCTGGAAGTGTCTGTCCTTGAGCCTGGGAGAGGGCGGGGCCTGCAGGCAATTCCCTCATCTCTCCACCTCTGGGCCCCTGGGTCGGGGACTAAGAAGGTGGGATGGGGAGGTGACAGGGATCTGAAGAGTGTGAGGGGTTAATGCCAGGGAGAACGCGGGTGACAACCTGAAATGAAACGTGTAAACAGTAGCCACATCTGCCAACCCAGACTGTCCTGCCGGGCTCGGGTCAGGATGGGTCTCTGTGTCCGCACAAGTGCTTGGCAGTCGTCCAAAGGAAAGAACGTGGAGCTCCACCTTCAGTGGAGTTAGTTGACCCCGCGGAAGGACTCCTCCCCAGCAATGGGGAAACTGAGGCAGGCAAAAACGACACCGCCCACACGCTGGGATCTTGCCAGTTTCTGTCTGGAATCTTCCAGGGTTCTCACCCTCCCATAGTCCTGCGTTACTCAGGGTAACCGCGGTTGTGGGTGGGAAATTTAGGGTCTGAGGTCCAAAGGCTCGGGCAGTTGAGGCCACTGGCCACAGAAGCAGAGCTCTTCAGAAGGGTTGGCATGTGGGCTCAGAGTGCTGCCTTATCTAGCATGCAGGAACCCAGAACTGAATGAAGCAGACTCCACGGTAAACGCCGGTATTTCTAGACCGGGGAGATGGGGCAGAGGACTGGAAATGTAAGTTTAGCATGGAGGTGGTGGTGCACACCTTCAACCCCAGCACTGGGCGGGGGGCAGAGGCAGGCAGATCTCTGGGTTCGAGGCTAGCCTGATCTACAGAGTGAGTTCCAGGACAGCTCAGACTACACTGAGAGATCCTGTCTCGAAAACCAAAAAGAAGAAAGGAAGACAGAAAGAAGGAAAAGAAAAAGCGTAGGAAAGGTTACATGAGATGCTGTCAGAGAACACAAACAAAACCCCAGCCACCACTGTGGGGGGTGGTGGTGCACACCTTTAATTCCGGCTCCTAGATCCCTGAGGCCAGCCTGGTCTGCACAGATGCAGAGAAGACAGGGCTACGCAAACAAACCAACCAACCAAAAGAACCTCTGGGAGCATCTCCGGGGCCTGGGTTGTCCTCCCTGGCTCTGAGCCTGCCCGTGTGTGATTGATCCCCCGGCCCCATTACTGAGCCCAAGACACGTGCAGGCTACATAAGCAAACTGTTGCCGGGAGCTGAAGTTCAGCTCGTGTTTGAGACAGTGTCACTCATGTAGTCCAGGGTGGCCTCAGTGCTGGGACTGCAGACACTCACCTGCGCTACCCTAGGAACCATGGAGGCAGGCTGGCAGACCGAAACATTCGGTCTTTAGATTGCACTGTTGTAAACACTGTATAATTTAGGTCTTCTCATGCTCAGAGCTCATCTGGGTGAAGGCATTAACCCCCCCCCCACACACACACACTCTATACACATGGAAAGCAAGGGACAAAGAAGCCATCGTGATAACTAGCTCAAGGCAGAGGGGAATGGGCTAGGGGAAGTCCCTGGCCCATTTCACAGAGGCAAACATCAAGTCTGACCCGGCTGGAGTGAAGGATTAAGTTGTGGGTGTTCCCCGCCCATCCCAGTGCCCTGACCTGGATCCCAGTGAGTCCTCCAGGAAGCCCAGAAGGACCCTTCAGCTCTGAGAACCTGTTTGGTGCAGAGGAGGCAGGGAAGCCTGAGGGTGGAGATTGGGAGCGGGTTGAAAGGGGAGCTGTAGAGTTGGAGGGGAGCCCAAGGAAAAGACCCGAGGGTGGAGGGAGGAACAGGAGCATGGGAACAGAGGCTCTGCCTCGCCTGGCTCGCCCGGTCCCTGGCCTGCGGAGCTGTGCACCTGCCCGGGCCCGCCTCGCATTCCTGGGGCCTGAGCTCAACCATTGCGCTCGCCGGGAACGCGCGCCCCCTAGCGGTCGCGGTGTTCCTACCAACCACACCAGCGCGGGGACCCCGCGCTCTCAGAACCCAGTGGATAATGACGCGTTTCCCCAGAGATCATTTTCCTAGGAAGGGGATTTCTGTACTCGGGAAGAACAGGCTCTTACCTGCTGAGCCACGCCTCGGCGCTCTGTGCACACAGGAGAGCCGCTACCCGTAGAGGTCGAGGCTGCCGCTGCAGCTGGGAAACTTTGGTCCTCCACATTCCAAACGGTGCAGCCTTCTCTCCAGCCCGGAGACCAGGTCGTTCGTGTAGCTCTGGCCGGCCCTGGAGCATGAAATGTAAACAAGCCTGGCTGTCTTCAGGCCTCTGCCTTTGGAAGCTAGGATTACAGGCGTGTGTGGCCAGGCCTAACTATCCTCTATTTTCTGAGGCCCAGTTTCTCATGGCCCTGATTTCTTCTTGTATTTTCTGTCCAGATAGATCTTTGCATTGGTCCAGTGAGGCAACCTCTTTACCTTTGTTTTACAAGTTAAGCAGCTGAGGCACTGTTGCCGGGGCATTCCAGAGGTCTCATCTCTGGTTTCTGGCTTGTGGTAGACTCCAGGAGAGTGCAGTTCTGGGATAGACAGAAAGTACAGCAGGAAAATTGTAAGTTGTGGGCAGAGCAAACTAAAGAATTCTAGAATAGAATAGAGATAGAAGGATAGAATCTTGAACTTGAATCCTATTTTTCAACTAGGGATTGAATCTAGGGCCTCAATCACGATAGACAGAGCTCCATTATTGAGCCACGCCCCCAACCCCTCACTGGGGGATTCTAGGCAGGGGCTGTACTACTGAGCCACCCCCCCAGCCCCTCACTGGGGGATTCTAGGCAGGGGCTCTACCATTGAGCCACATCCCCAGCCCCTCAGTAGGGATTCTAGGCAGGGGACTCTGCTACCATTCCAAGCCCCAGCCCCTCACTGGGGGATTCTAGGCAGGGGCTCTACCACTGAGTCACACCCCCATTCCCAGGTCAGAAGTTTCTCTCAGTAGACACTCAAGCCTTCATCTCCATCTTTGTAGAGCTTTACCATCTCAGAGTCATTACTGGGTGTGGCGATGCCTGACTGTATCCCCAGCCACAGAGAGGCAGGAGGAGCCATTAGCAAAGTCCCTGGATAGCCTGGGCTACATGAGACTATAACATCAGGTTCCAGAGTGGAGCCCTCCCTGAGATCAGAAGGGCCTTTCCGAATACTCAGTTCGCACCCTCCTGCCCTGTGGGGGTCTCGGGCGGAGTCAGGGAGTCTCCAACCCCAGGAGTGCAGATCACACATGCTCAGATGAGCCAACAGTCCCAACAGGTTCTAGTCGTCATGGCTCTCCAGACAGAGGCTGGTGTCGACATGTCCCAGCTGGCCCCGCGGCCTACACCTTTACCTTTACCGCCAAAGCTAAAAGGTGACAGGCTGGCGGGCGTGGCGGCTGCCATGGGGATAGAGATGGCTGGCCTGACCGGTTCCCAGCAGCCTGGCTTCCTCCCTCTAGCTTGTGACCATAGCTGTCTCTCTGGCCCCGGCCACGCCCCTGTCCGTCCTCCTAACAATGGGTCAGTGTGAACAGGGCCTCCTGTGGACGGTGACAGAGGAGGTGGTGATGTACCTGCCCCTGGCTGGCCTGGAACTCACCAGGCTGGCCTGAAACTCAGAGATCCACCTGCTTCTGCCTCCCAATGCTGCAATTACAGGCGTGGCCACCACCACCCGACTAATTTATTTTATTTTTAAGTACGAGAATGCAGAGGGTGCTGGGATTGACATGTGAGGCTAGCTCGTTTCTAATTCAAATTTTAAAAAGGTGTGTGGGTGTTTGTTGGTACGCACATGTGAGTGTGGGTGCTCTCTGAGGCTGGAGAGGGCATTGGGTGCCTGGGAGCTGGAGTTGCAGGCAGCTGTGAGCCGTTGTGCTTGGATGGGTGCTGGGAATCGAACTCAGGCTGCTGGACAATCCGACCCCAGGCTCTGTCTCTTCTTCCATTGTATCTCTTCTTTTTCTTTTTGCTCTTGGCGGCAGGGTCTCCTATTGTCTGAGCTTGCCTCCAACTTGCCGAGAGGCCGAGGATTGCAACTCATGATCCCCTTGCCTGTTCCTCCCAAGCACTGGGATGGGGGCGCACCACAGACATGCGCTCGCTCCAAGCTGTGTGAATTGTATTAGCAAGAGGGTTTGTGCGCTCCTGTGTGTGGAGTGTGTGTTCCTGTGTGTGGAGTGTGTGTGTGCACCTCTCTGCATGTGATGTGTTGGTGTGGAGTGTGCTCTATGTATCATGTGTTGGTGTGTCCTTGTACATGGAAGCCAAGGGCAATAACGCAAATCTTCCTCTACCACTCTCCACCCTATGTGGCTGTTTTTTAGGATTTGTTTCTTTTGTTTTATGTATATGAGTGCTTTGCATGCTGGAGTTACAGAAGGTTGTGAGCCGCCATGTGGGTGCTGAGAATTGAACCTCTTGACCTCTGAACCCTCTATCCATCCCCACCTTCGGTTTTGAGACAAGGTCTCTTTCGGAACAGATTTGGCAGGAGCAGCTGCCTGTCTCCACTTCCTCAGAGCTGGCATTCCCAACATGCACCTGTGCTCCCAGCATGCACCTGCCCCTCTGAGTTTCCCTGGGGTGCTAAGGGCTGACTTCAGTTCTTCATGCTCAACAGAAAGGCCCGAACCAACCGAGCCAGCTGTGCCGTAGCCTTTAACCCAGGTTAACTTCTCACTTGCTTAGCCTCCTGCCGGCAGGCACCACCACAATTGGTTAGAAATGTTTTTAAGGTAGGGCTCACTCTGTATCCCACACTATATTGAACGCACGTCGTAGACCAGGCTGGTCTGAAACTAGAAGTCCTTTATGGGACTGGAGAGATGGCTCAGTGGTTAAGAGCACTGACTGCTCATCCAGAGGACCTGGGTTCAATTCCGAACCCACATGGCGGCTCACAACTGACTGTCACTCCAAGATCTGACGCCCTCACACAGACACACATGCAGACGAAACACCAATGCACATAAAATGAAAATAAATTACTTTTTTTAAAAAACAAATCCTTTGCAGCTGCCTCAAGAACTAACGTTGCAGGTGAATGACCCAGGTCTAGCCCGTAACTGTTGTTAGAGGTGGAGCAGGCCCTAGGGCCGTGGTTTAGTTGGTAAGGCGCATACGTAGCGTCCGTTCCCAGCACTGCACAATCCACTTGGCACTCCAAGCCTGTAATCTCAGCACTCAGGATGTACAAGCAGGAGGACCAAAAGTTGGAGCTCACCCTAAATTACGTATGAGCTTTAGACCAGTCTGGGCTACGTGACACCCTGTCCCACACAACAACAACAAAATTGAGCTGGAGAGATGGCTCAGAAGTTAGGAGCCCCTGTTGCTCTTACAGAGAACCCAGGTTCAGTTCCCAGCACCCGTATGTTAGTTCACAACTATTTGTCATTATTGTTCAAGGGAATCTGACGCCCTCTTCTGATCACCATGGGCACCAAGCTTGCAAACGTGCGTGCAGACTCTCATATACATGAAATAAGTAATCTAAAAGTGAGCAAAACAAAAACCAAACAACAAATTTAGTATGCAGGTACAGGCCTGTAATCCAAAAGTCCTGGAGGCCAAGGCAGGTCAAGGATTGTGAATTTGAAGTCTATGTGAAGTTTTCCAGGCCACCCTGAACACTTAAAAAGACTGTGTCAACAGTAAAATGATGGCTGGGGGAGTAACTCGGTGGTAGAGTCCCTGTCTAGAATCCCCCAGTGAGGGTCTGGGGGTGTGGCTCAGTGGTAGAGCCCCTGCCTAGAATCCCCAGTGAGGGGCTGGGGGCGTGGCTCAGTGGTAGCGCCCCTCCCTTACATGCATGTGGCACTGCCTTTAATTCTCATTATAGCAATAAACAAAACAAAAAATGAACACCAAAACTGGTGGTGTCTCCTCATCCCTAGTAAACTTTCATTATAGTAGCAGTTAATTATTTCAACCTCAGTTCAATACCACACGGGGTTGATGGTGACATTCTTTGTCTCAAACTTTCTAGAATGGCTTAGGACTTCTAGGTAGCTAATGGACATGGACAGAGTTTTGAAGGAATTGGCATTCTGGAGCCTTAATGGCTGGTGAGGGCCCTGCCTTCCCCGGGGGTCGGGCCTTGGGGGCGTGGCCTGAAGGGTCTGAGCACCTTCTCCATCCAGGCAGGCACCCTGCTCCGGCCGGCACCATGGACAGCGAAGCATTCCAGAATGCTCGGGATCTCCTGGATCTGAATTTCCAGTGTGAGCTGGGGGCAGGGGCGGGCGGGCGGGGCCCGGTGAGGGGGCGTGGTGGAGGGGCGTGGCCTTGACTTTCACTCTCACCCACCCAGCGCTGGCCATGAAGCACATGGACCTGAAACAGATGGAGTTGGACACCGCGGCCGCCAAAGTGGACGAACTGACCAAGCAGCTAGAGTCCCTGTGGTCAGACTCGCCAGCGCCTCCTGGCCCACAGGCTGGAGTCCCCCCTAGGGTGAGCCTGGTGACGCTCCTGACCCCCAAAGACAGCTTCTCTCAGGGAAGGCTCGAATTTCTAAGGCTGTGAGCTATGCAAGGCCATCTAGAAGAGAGGGACCCTAGGCATGGAGAACGGACGCTTTCCCGCTCTAGGGGAGCTAAGGCAGAAGGATCGATTCAGTGCCAGCCTCTCCGGACTTCATAGTGAGTTCAAGGCCAGCCTGGGCTACGCAGAGGCTGGCTAAGTTATAGAATGTTTGCTTGGCATGAATGAAGGTCTGGGTTCTAGCTCCCGATTCATATAAAATCAGGGCTTGTGGTACACTCCTGTTATACTGGAGATGGAGAGGCAAGAGGATAAGGAGTTCGTGGCCACACTTGGCTACATGAAATCTCAAAAGTTTTTTTTTTTAATTAATTAATTAATTAATTAATTTTTTGGTTTCGTGAGACAGGGTTTCTCTGTGTATCTTTGGAACCTGTTCTGGAACTGGATCTGTAGACCAGGCTGGCCTGGGACTCACAGATCCACCTGCCTCTGCCTCCCAACACCGCCCAGTGTTGGGATTACAGTGTCCGCCACCATTGCCCGGAGTAATTTGTTCATTTTTTAAATCAGTGTCTCAGTATGTAGCCCTAGCTGGTCTGGAACTCACAGAGATCCACCTGCTTCTGCCTCAGGGTGCTGGGATTAAAGGCGTGGCCACTTTTTTTTTTGAGACATGTTTCTCATATGCAGTACTCACCCCACTCCCTTGTCGTCTTCTCTGACTCTTCCATGCCCGACTTCCCCACAGATGTCCCGGTACAGCGCCAGCCCTGTCCCAGAGCATTTTGGCAGCAGAGGGTCCCCACAGAAGACATCCAGCGATGGCACCGAGGCCCGTTTTGGACGCTCGGAGAGTGCCCCGTCCCTGCACCCCTACAGCCCTCTATCCCCCAAAGGCCGGCCGTCCTCCCCGCGTACCCCCATCTACCTGCAGCCGGATGCCTACAGTAGCCTGGAGCGCGCGCCGTCGCCCAGACCCCGAGCCTTTGACGGGGCAGGCAGTCCCCATGGCCGGGCACCGTCCCCACGGCCGGGGACTGGCTCGATGCGCCAGCCGGGACCCCCAACGCCCTTCGACTACCTGGGCCGTGCGGGGTCCCCCCGGGGCAGCCCTCTAGCCGAGGGACCCCAAGCCTTCTTCCCGGAGCGCGGACCTTCTCCCCGGCCTCCCGCGGCAGCGTATGACGCACCGGCCGCATTCGGGAGCCCCCTGCTGGGCGCGGGTGGCAGTGCCTTCGCCCCGCCGCTTCGCGCACAAGGTACACAGGGAGCCATCCTGGGGGGCTGGCCTAGTGTAGCCAATGCTTACACCCTCACTCACGCACCCCTTCCCCAGACGACCTGACGCTGCGCCGGAGGCCCCCGAAAGCCTGGAACGAGTCTGACTTGGATGTAGCTTATGAGAAAAAGTCTTCACAGACAGCGAGCTATGAGCGTGAGTGACAGGGATAGGGGAACCTGGAGGACGGGAATCCGGAGTCCATTCCAACGATGAGATGCGTGTTTTGCAGGGCTGGATGTCTTCACACGGCCTGCCTCGCCGGGCCTGCAGCTTTTGCCCTGGAGAGAGAGCAGCCTGGATGGGCTGGGGGGCGGTGGCAAGGTGAGGGGCAGGTGGGCAGCACGGGGGTAAAGTTGGAAGTGCGTGTGTGCCTTCTCTCATGGTCTTTATGGTGGGGGGCTGAGGATTGACTCTAGGGCCGCGTTCATTCTAGGTGAGTGGATACTGCTAAGCTACCACCCCCAGCCCCTCACTGGGGCATTCTAGGCAGGGGCTCTACCACTGACCACACCCCAGCCCCTCACTGGGGGATTCTAGGCAGGGGCTTTACTACTAAGCTAGCTGTATCGACAAACTTCTGCTTGGTTTTCAGTCCCTTCTGAGTGGTAGCCTCCAAGTGTGCATACTCTTCCTCTTTTGTGTGTGTGTGTGTGTGTGTGTGTGTGTGTGTGTTTCTCTAGCCCGAACTGGCCTTACAGTCAAAGTCAAGGCAATCCTCCTGCCTCAGCCTCTCCTGCTGGCTTTCCTGTGCATGCCGTCACACACACGTCCTTTCCTTCCCCTCACCCTGTTGCCCTTACTTGTCTACATCCCTTTCTCCCTCCCCCACAGGACAACATCACCAGTGCCACATTGCCACGCAATTACAAGGTGTCCCCTCTGGCCACCGAGCGGCGTTCCGACGTAGGCAGCTACCGCCGCTCTGTGGGCTCGGCGGGGCCCTCAGGCACTCTGCCCCGCAGCTGGCAGCCCGTCAGCCGCATCCCCATGCCCCCCTCCAGCCCCCAGCCCCGCAACGCCCTGCGCCAGCGCCCCTTACCCCTCAGCATGATCTTCAAGCTCCAGAACGCTTTCTGGGAACATGGAGCCAGCAGGGCTGTGCTGCCGGGGTCCCCCATCTTCTCCCGAGCACCCCCACCTAAGCTGCCTCCCCAGCAGCCACCCCAGCCAGCCCCACAGCCCCAACCTCAGATGCCCCCCCAGCCCCAGGCTCAGCCCCAGACTCCGGCACCTCAACAGACTTGGCCTCCCATCAGTGAAGGTGAGTCAGACGAGGGGTCCTGGGGCAAACGATGGGGACCAGGGCAGCTGGGCCGCCACGGCAACCAAGCCTGAGTCCAGACGCTGTCCCTGGGGAGAGCCGGGCCACATAAACACGGGGCCAAGATGACAGAGCTTGAGACGTTCAAGGCATGTGCTAACCGCTCTGAGCCTTGTGCTCCCCGAGCGTAAAGCCGGAATCTTGATAGAATCCTATCTTTTGGGCCGTGATGCTGAAACCATATCAAGTCATGAAAATACGGCCCAGCGCATAGTCACTGCATAATTCCCATTGTCTCCTGGTTGACGGCATCCGTCTGTGCTAGAGGGGCGGAGTGATGCTGAGAGTGAGCCTCTCCAAGATGCTCACTTGCTGTGTGACTCAGGACAAGTCACTCAACCTCTCTGAGCCTATCGTGGTGGCATTGGGATGGTGGATGAAGACCAGTGGATGTTTTTCACCAGCTTCTGCAGCGCTGCTGGGGAGGGGAAGGGTTATAAAACAAACAGAGATCCCTGAACACCAGGTTTCTCCTCTGGAATTTCCTGCATGAGAGGTCAGGGCAGTGAAATTCTTAGGATCCTAGATAGCCAAGTTTGTTGTTGTTTGGTGGGGCGTGCAGATTCCAGAGTCAACCAGCTGTGTGACTTTGGGCGAGTGGATCTCCCTCTCTGAGCTGCAGATTCCTTTCTGTCAAATGGCGACAGTCACTGATCTTTTCTACAGTGTAGAAGGGATGCCTGTGTAAGGCTGAAGATACAACTTGGTGTGTCCAATGCTTATCGTGTGCCCTGTGGTCAGTGCTCAGCACCGTAAATAACTAAGTCGGCCATGTGGATGTTCAGTCAGTGGGAGATGCCGTCACGTTGTGTTACCCACAGCCCCAGGCAAAGTGTGTTCTAGAGTCTAGAGACGGCAAGTCACTGCCCTGAGGTCACACAGTACAGGATCTGGGTGCATCCCAGAGGCTGTGGATCTTGGTTAACTCCTGGTTGGCTTCCTCTGACGGGGCTCTTGTTCCTGCCAGGCCTCCTCAGATGCCCTGCTGAGCTGGAGCCCGAGCCGGAGCTGGAGGGGCTGCTGGCTCCCGTGCTGGAGGCTGGGGACACAGACGACGGTGCCGTCCCGCGGCCTCTTAGCCCCACCAGGCTGCAGCCGGCGCTGCCACCCGAAGCCCAGACCGTGCCTGAGCTGGAGGAGGTGGCCCGGGTACTGGCCGAGATTCCCCGGCCCCTCAAACGCAGAGGCTCCATGGAGCAGAGCCCTGCCGCCGCCCTGCCCCCCACCCACAAGAAGCAGTACCAACTGATCATCAATAGACTCTTCCATCGGCATGGCGGCCCCGGGCCGGGAGGGCCCGAGCCAGAGCTGTCCACAATCACAGAGGGATCGGACGCCCGAGCGGGGCCCCCTGCTCCCGCCCCACCGGCTCCCATCCCGCCCCCAGCCCCTCCCCAGAGCAGTGTTCCAGAGCAGCCCCAGAGCGTGGTAAGTCACAGGAGGAGACTGTGGTGCTCCTCGTGGATACAGTTGCTGTCTTTACCACACAGTGGTTTAAATGAGACACAGTGTTGTACCCAAACCCGGGCTACACACTATCCACTCAGATTAGCATGGCTTCCTGACCCAAGATGGTGCCCACCATGCTGCAGGAGGAGCCTGGGAATTGTAGTCTTGTGTGTAGACGGGGCTGGGCTCAGGGAAGGGGACAGACTGGGTGGATGGAGGGTGACCTGACAGCTTGGCTTCCTTTGCCTGTGCCTCGTGCCCAGCTTTCCTTCATGAGTCTCAGCTTTGTACCTGCAGCTGACTGGAGCGTTCAGTGTGACAGTGCGCTTATCTGAGACCTGGGGACCAGGCAGTCTGTGGCGCCTGTGTTTTCTGGGCTCCTGCTCTGTCTCCTTTTGAAGAGAGAGTCTCTGGTCCCCAAGCCTTTGGTCATCAAAAACTGCAGAGTTGCCGGCATTGGTGGCGCATGGCTTTAATCCCAGCACTCGGGAGGCAGAGGCAGGCGGATCTCTGTGAGTTCGAGGCCAGCCTGGTCTACAGAGCGAGTTCCAGGACAAATCCTGAAACAATACAGAGAAACCCTGTCTCGAAAGAGAGAGAGAGAGAGAGAGAGAGAGAGAGAGAGAGAGAGAGAGAGAGAGAGAGAGAGAGAGAATAAGTGCCTTGAAGACCACCTACTACTCCAAGCATTCCTAGCTTTTAGATCTCGGGGTCCTAGACTCCAGAGTCACAGGATGACCCGATAGTTGTGAAGGGCCAGTGTACCAGGGCGCAGCCAGCTCTCCCTCCCTTCACTCTTCCCTCCTGGGAGTGAGCCCTCCTGACCGTGAGGTGACCCGGCCCCGGGTCTGTGTTTCCCCTGAGGTGTGGGCGGGAAGACCTCCCTTGAAGCCCCGCTTTATGCTGCAGGAAATGCGTTCGGTACTGCGCAAAGTGGGGTCCCCGCGCAAGGCCCGGCGAGCGCGCCTCAACCCGCTGGTGCTGCTGTTGGACGCAGCGCTGACGGGCGAGCTGGACGTGGTACAGCAGGCGGTGAAGGAGGTGAGGTCCCCACACCCCGTGGCAGCCCCACCCCGGGGGGGGGCAGTGTGTGAGAGGCGGGGCTGAGCCCCCTCTTCCTGGTCTTCCCAGATGAATGACCCAAGCCAGCCCAATGAGGAGGGCATCACCGCCCTGCACAACGCCATCTGTGGTGCCAACTACCCCATCGTGGACTTCCTCATCGCCGCGGGCGCCAACGTCAACTCCCCTGACAGCCACGGCTGGTGAGCGGGTGGTGGGCGGGGCCTCGGCGTGGGCACTTCCAGTTGGGTGGTGCTGCGGGTTGGGACCGCCCTGCCTGAAGCTCAGCCTTCCGCCTCCAGGACACCGTTGCATTGCGCGGCTTCATGCAACGACACTGCCATCTGCACCGCGCTGGTCCAGCACGGTGCGGCCATCTTTGCCACCACGCTCAGTGATGGGGCCACCGCCATTGAAAAGTGCGACCCTTACCGGGAGGGCTACACAGACTGCGCCACCTATCTGGCAGGTGCGAGGCTGTGCCTGAAGTGGGGGTGGGGGTGGGGGCCGTGCAACCCGCCAGGCCGATGCCCGTGGATGGGTAGCGATTCAGGAACCGTGTCATTCAGACCGCACGGGCATTCCACCTGAGGGGCGAGCAGTCCAAACTCCAAATACTCTGTCCAGCTGCTGTGGGAGCCCACACTTGCCATCCCAGCGCTAGGGAGGCAGAGGCAGGGAGATCTCTGTGAGTTGGAGGCTAGCCTGGTCTACATAGCAAGCTCAGTCTAGCCAGGGCTACAGAAGGCTACCCTGTCTCAAGACCAAAAACCAACAAGAGGAAGGGCAGTGTGGCCCTCTGCTGGGAAGCCGTGTAGAGGCTGGGACACTTGCAGATGTCCCTGTGTTCACATCAGCTTTCACCAGGGACCAGGCTAAACTGCATGAATGGCACAGCCAAGATAGACTGCACCAGAGGCTTGCCCGCAGTCTCCACCGGGAGAGGCGGATGGGGTCATAGCTGGCATTAGGGGTCACGGGGCATGAGGTGGGGATGGGGGTCAGGCCATGCCGGCCCGTTCCTAAGGCTGGAGGACATAGTTGGGACCAGCTAGAGTCCCAGAGAGAGCCTGTCTTTAGAAAAGCTAGAGCCCCAGAGAGAGCCTGTTTTTAGAAAAGCTTGGGTGGATGGCAACTGTCCATAACTCCAAGACCTGACACTCCCACACAGACACACCTGCAGGTAAAACACCAGCGCACAAGGCAGCGTTGGTGGCTGCCTTTAATCCCAGCACTCGGGAGGCAGAGGCAGGCGGATCTCTGTGAGTTTGAGGCCAGCCTGGACTACCAAGCAAGTTCCAGGACAGCCTCCAAAGCCACAGAGAAACCCTGTCTCGAAAAACCAAAAAAAAAAAAAAAAAAAAAAAAAACACCAGCGCACATAAGATAAAAAAGCAGACACTGAAAACGGGGGGCTGGGGGGGTTGGGGGTGGGGGGTATGTGTAGCTCAGCGGGTGGAGCGCTCGCCTGGCATGATAGAGGTTCTGGGTTTGTCCCCTGCACTGCAGAGAGTGGGTGCTGAGGCCACACCACAGCTAGGGAGGCGGAGCCAGAAAGACTGAAAGTTCAGGGTCACTCTTGTCTATGTCTAGTCTGAGGCCAGCCTGGGTTACAGCTGGCCCTGTCTGTCTTTAGAGAGGGAGGTCACTCAGCAGTCAGGAGTATTGAGTTCAGTGCCCTGCACCGCCGTGGTGGCTACAGTCGTCTCCACTGTAATCCATGGGATCCAGTGCCCTCTTGTGGTGTGCAGATGTACAGGCAGACAAAGCTCCATCTACATAAAACATATAAATAAGCAAATCTTTAAAATAGGAGGGGAGGGGCTGGAGAGACGGCTCAGAGGTAAAGAGCACTGCTCTTCCAGGGGACCTGAGTTCAGTTCCCAGCAACCACATGGCGGCTCACAACCATCTGTAATGAGATCTGGTGCCCTCTGCTGGACTGCAGGGATACATGCAGGCAGAACACTATACATAACAAGGAGAGAGAGAGAGAGAGAGAGAGAGAGAGAGAGAGAGAGAGAGAGAGAGAGAGAGAGAGAGAGAGAGGCATGAAGGGTTGACCATCATTTTGGCACACCAAGATTCCTCAAGTGTCAGAGAGTGCCTGTTCCAACCCCTCACTGCCACCCACAGACAGAGACCTCTGTTGTTCCTGTCCCGTGCGGCTCCTTCCCCGGCCCTGCCCATGCTGCCGTGTTCTGTGTGTTCCCCGGCCCTGACCATGCTGCCGTGTTCTGTGTGTGTTTTCAGATGTTGAGCAAAGCATGGGTCTGATGCACGGCGGGCTCGTGTACGCACTCTGGGACTACAGTGCGGAGTTCGGGGATGAGCTGTCCTTCCGGGAGGGCGACTCAGTCACTGTGCTCCGGAGGGACGGGCCGGAAGAGACCGACTGGTGGTGGGCCTCACTACACGGCCAGGAGGGCTATGTGCCACGCAACTACTTTGGGGTGAGCCCAGAGGGGACCCGGTGGAAGCCCCCATTAATGGGTTTGGCCTGGCTGCTCTCAGGAAAGAGAAGGAGCAAAATGATGCCATTTCCTGTTATCCCGGTGCTTTGGAGACTGAGGCAGGGGAATTGCTAAGAGTTTGAGGCCAACCTAGGCTACATTGTAAATTTTAGGTTAGCCTAAGCTACAAATGGACTTCTTTCTCTCTTCAGTCCCTCTGCCACATCTGCTCACACACACACACACACACTCACACACACACACACGCACACACGCACACTCACACACTCACACACACACACACACACTCACACACACTCACACACTCACACACTCACACACACACACTCACACACACACACTCACACACACACTCACACACACTCACACACACACTCACACACACACTCACACACACTCACACACACACTCACACACGCACACTCACACACGCACACACACATATTCACACACACTCACACACACACTCTCACACACACACACTCACACACACGCACACACACACACACTCACACACACACGCACACACACACACGCGCGCTTCATTATTACCGTGGTAAAGGAGTCTAAAAGAATCCATCATTGGGTGTGCTATGGTGCAGGCCAAGGGGACCCCTTTCACTCAGGAAAGGAGATGGCAGTCACGTACAGGTTGCCCCATGTCTTCCCACCCTTGCCAGGGTGTGGCGGGTGGTCAGATGGCAGCCCCCCTCCTTGGAGGTGGGTTAGACGGGGCTGGGCTCCTGGTGTCTAACGGTCCCCTTCCTTCAGCTCTTCCCCAGAGTGAAGTCTCAGAGGAGCAAAATCTAGCAGGAATGAAGGATGATGTCGAGGACAAACGTGCAAGCCAGCCTGCCTTCCACCCGGACCTCCCCAGTCCAGCTACTGCCGAGTTTCCCTGCGCCCTCATCTCCAGAGGGGTGCGGCCTGCGCCAGAAGTTCCTCCAGAGGCTCAAGGAAGGGCAGCTCCAGACTTGAGATTAGGAAGCCGCCTTAGGCATCGGGTGAAGTGGGCCTGAGGACCTTTGTGGGCAGGAGACCTCCCCCACCGCACGCAGACACACACACATACACAGACACACAGACAGACACACACACACACACACACACACACACACACACACACAGACTTGCCAAATCAGACCTAGTTCAAAGAGCCTGCTAACTGCCCGCCAGCCGCTGCACTGTCTCAGCTGGCCTGGGAGGGTGGACGCACCCTTCATTCCTCCCTGAGTCCTTCTGCCCCCATTCCTCCCAGCAGCCCCCATTCCTCCCAGCAGCCCCCATTCCTCCCAGCAGCCCCCATTCCTCCCAGCAGCCCTCATTCCTCCCAGCAGCCCCCATTCCTCCCAGCAGCCTTGGGTGGGGTGCATGGCTCCTCAGCAGGATGTCTGCCCCCCCTCCCCAACCAAGTGCCTTCACACCCGTGTGGCTTAATGTTTGCCACGACATGGGGAACTGTTTCCTTTATAAATAAAGGTAGTTTGCACAGAAGCGAGCATCATTTTGCATCTGTTCAGGCTCCAAGAATGCTGTCTTTGCTTCAGAAGGATGGGTTAGTTTTTGTCAACTTGACACAAACCTCGACAAGATACTCACAGAGGCTGTCACTCACAAGCCCAATGTCTTTATTTTATTGTTTGTTTTTTGAGACAGTGTCTCACTATATATTCTAGCTGCCCTGGCTCTTGCTATGTAGATCAGGCTAGCTTCAAGCCTGCTTCTTCCTTTCAAATGCTAGCACTACAGATGAATGCCACCATACCCAGCTTTTTGTTTTGTTTTGCTTTTTGAGACAGGGTTTCTTTTTTTTTTTTTTTTTTTTTTTAAGGAGACAGGGTTTCTCTGTATTGTTTTAGAGGCTATCGGTCCAGCCCGGCCTCGAACTCACAGAGATCCGCCTGCCTCTGCCTCCTGAGTGCTGGGATTAAAGGTGTGTGCCACCACCGCCCGGGGAGACAGGGTTTCTTTTCTTTTTTTTTTTTAAGATTTTATTTATTATGTATTCACCACTTCATGTATGCCTGCCTGCCAGAAGAGGGCGCCAGATCTCATTACGGATGGTTGTGAGCCACCATGTGGTTGCTGGGAACTGAACTCAGCACCTCTGGAAGAGCAGCCAGGGCTCTTAACCTCTGAGCCATCTCTCCAGCCCCGAGACAGGGTTTCTTTCTCTGTGTAACTAACCCTGGCTCTCCTGGAACACACTCTGTAGACCAGGCTGGCCTCGAACTCACCACCTGCCAACCCCTCCTGAGTGCTGAGATTAAAGGTGTGTGTGAACACCTCCTTGCTCATGCCCAGTTTTTTAAAAAGGTTTTGAAACAGGATTTTATGTGCAGTCTAGACTACCGTTAAACCTATAATCAGACCCTGTAGGAGCTGGGGTTGATAGATGTGCCCCACCACGACCAGCTTTATTTATTTAGCAAAAGACAAAGAAAAGCTTTTAAATCATGTGACGTGGAAGAAATGGGAATGGCCCAGAGAATAAAAATGTTTAAAGGGGAAATAAAGAAAAATTAAAAAGGTCTGGCACCGCCTCCCCCAAGTCCATCTTCAGGGTCCTAACGTGAGGTCTAAGTTGAGAGAGCAAGAGGAACGTGTAACTGAGTGACTGGACACAGGCAGAGTGAGGTCCTGCCCATCACTGACCCCTCAGTGCCAGGCTGGGCTCCCCCTGCAAGGTGGTTTGATACAGGATCAAGAACTGTGTGAAGCCGGGTGGTGGTGGCACATGCCTTTAATCCCAGCACTCGGGAGGCAGAGGCAGGCGGATCTCTGTGAGTTCGAGGCTGGGCTGGACTGACAGCCTCCAAAACAATACAGAGAAACCCTGTCTAATAAAAACCGAAAAAAAAAAAAAAAGAACTGTGTGAAATCTCAAACCAAGAGGAACGTTTCCTCACTGACTGGCACCAGTGCATGCGTGCGTGCGTGCGTGCGTGTGTGTGAATGATGTGTTTAATTTGGTGATTTGGAGGTTAGAGACATCCTTGTTTAGAAGATGACATCTGTGCCTGGTCTACAGAGCGAGTTCCAAGACAGCCTCCAAAACAATACAGAGAAACCCTGTCTCGAAAAAAAAAACAAAAAAAAAGAAGATGACATCTGTCATCTGTGTGCTGGCAAGACGGCTCAGCAGGTCAACGAATGCACTTACCATGCCCAAAATTCTGAGCTTTCAATCCCCAGGATCTGCACAATGGATAGAAAGAAGCTTCCGGCAAGTTGTTCTGCAACAGTTCCCGTGCATGCCCCTGTAACTAATAAAATGGGGCTGGAGAGACGGCTCAGCGGTTGAGCACTGTTGCTCCTGCAGAGGATCTGGCTGTGGTTTCCAGCGCCCGTGTAGGGGCTCACAGCCATCCACAGCTCCAGAACCTGGGGGTCTGATTCCTTCCTCTCACCTCCAAGGGCGCCAGGTAGACGCCTGCTGCGCATACTTGTGTGCAGGCAAAACACTCATACACATACAATAAAATAGTTAACTAGGAAGAAAGAAAAAATAGCCAGGCATTGTAGTACACACCTTCAATCCCAGCATTCAGCGGGCAGAGGCTGGTGGATTTCTGAGTTCGAGACCACCCTCTGGTCTACAGAGTGAGTTCCAGGACAGCCAGGGCTGCACCCAGAAACCCTGTCTCAACAAAACCAAAACAAATAAAATGTAATTAAAAGCAGGCACTGAGGCAAATAGCTCAGTTGGTAAAGTGCTTTTTTTTTTATTATGCATGTATTTATTGTTGGTGGTTGGTTGGTTTTGGATTTTTTTTTTTGAGCCAATGTTCTCATAGAGTCTCGGCTAGCCTTGAACTCATTAAGTAGCCAAGGATGCTTTTTTCTGCCTCTGCCTCCTCAGAGTGTATGTGCCCCTAATTGTAGGTATCCTTGGGAGCCAGAGCTAGTGCTACAGGCGATTGTAAACTGCCTCATGTAGGGAGCTGGGATCCCAGCTGGTCTTGGGCGTCCTCTCCAAGATCAGAAAACGCTGGTAACTGCTGAGCATTGCCTTTAATGAATTTTCAAATAACACGTAGGAGAGTCTGGCTAGAGTAGGGAGAAGCTGTTTGTAGGTTTCTTTTTTTGTTTGTTTGTTTGTTTTTTTGTTTTTTCGAGACAGGGTTTCTCTGTGGCTTTGGAGGCTGTCCTGGAACTCGCTTGGTAGTCCACGCTGGTCTCGAACTCACAGAGATCCGCCTGCCACTGCCTCCCGAGTGCTGGGATTAAAGGCTTGCGCCACCAACGCCCGGCTGTTTGTAGGTTTCTTGCGTTATGTCTGGACACAGACTTTAGAAATCCGTGCTTGTCGCCGGGCACTGGTGGCGCACGCCTTTAATCCCAGCACAGAGGCTCTGTGAGTTCGAGGCCAGCCTGGTTGGTCTACAAGAGCTAGTTCCAGGACAGCTTCCAAAGCCACAGAGAAACCCTGTCTCGAAAAACCAAAAAGAAAAAAGAAAAGAAAAGAAACCCGTGATTGTCTGGTACAACTGAGCCATTGTAACTGCAAGGCTCCGAAAGGCCTCCAATTTCTCGGCTATTCTCCCCTGGGCTCCAATTCACAGCCAGGGCACAAACCAGGAAGAGCTGAATCGATCGCGTCGGCTCTCTTCCTTCCTTCCGCAGCCTGTTCGCAGCCGTCGACGATCCTCAGCGATGCCTCGGGCACCGCCTCCCTCCCAGAGCCCGCCCTCCCGCCTCCACGCGCACGCGCCCGCCCTCCGGTTGGGCGGAGTGACGGGCAGGAGCAGCCAATAGCGTCGCGAGGAAGGCGGCGCTCTCGGCTCACGCCCCCGTTGCATATTCAAGAGGCGGGCGGGCGGGCGGGCGGGCGGTGGAGCGGACGCCGCGGCGGCTGCGAGGCGCCATGAAGTGAGCCGGGGGCTCGGCGGTGGGCGATGGGGCGGCCGGCGGGCGTCGCTGGGGCCGGGGCGCGGCGCGGAGAGGCTGCGGAGGCCGGGCCGGGTGGCCTCGGGGTCCGCGGCGGGGGCGGGCGGGCGGGCGGGCGGGCGGCACGGAAGCCGGGACGGCCCGAGAGCCCCGGGCACCGACGCTTCGCTGCCGCCGTCGCCAGGCTCAACGTGGACGGGCTGCTGGTCTATTTCCCGTACGACTACATCTACCCGGAGCAGTTCTCCTACATGCTGGAGCTCAAGCGCACGCTGGACGCCAAGGTGGGTGGCGGCTGCCCCCCCGGTGCACACCCCTGGCTCCCTCCGCTAACTTCCTGGTCGGGGGTGGGGGGGCCGCCCGGCCACGTTGCCCCGGGCCCGCAATCCCAGCGCCCTGTGAGGCTCAGGCTGGAGCGGCGCTGCGAGTTTTGAGGCCAGCCTGGACTACATAGCGAGCGAGACCCTGTCTCGGCAAGAACAAAATAAATAAATAAATAAATAAATAAATAAATAAATAAATAAAACAACCAATAGGGCTGGGAACGTAGCTCGCCCGGTTGGTGTAGGGTGCTTCCCTGGCTAGCGTCAGGGATGGAGATCTGGGTTTCATCCTGGCACCGCATAAACGGAATGTGACAGTGTATTGCTATGATTCCGACGGCAGGGAGGCTGAGGAAGGATTGAGCCGAGTTTGAAGGGCAGCTTGGCTTTTATAGTAGTGAGTTCCAGGCCAGCTAGGGCTCTGTACGGGAGACTGTTTCCCAAAACATCTAGATGACTTGTGGAGGTTCATAGAATGTTTGCCCAGCATAACCCAAACATGGAGTTAATGATGCGCCGTGCCTGTAACCCGAGCCCTGGGGAGGCTGAGGCAGGAGAATGACTTGGGGTTTGCAGCCAGTCGGGGTGAGTTTCAGGCAAACCAGGGCTATATAGTCAGGGCCTTAAAAAGATAAGGGCGGGAAAAGCTGGGCGGTGGTGGCGCACGCCTTTAATCCCAGCACTCGGGAGGCAGAGGCTGGCGGATCTCTGTGAGTTTGAGGCCTGGCTGGACCGACAGCCTCCAAAACAATACAGAGAAACCCTGTCTCGTAAAACCAAAAAAAAAAAAAAAAAAAAAAAGAGTAATAACAGGATTTGATAATAGAGTCAAGGCTGAGTCTTAGGGACATAGAGACTTTTTTCTGTCAGCCTGGCTTCTACCTTGCACTCTTGGGCATGTCTTTAAGCTCTTGCCAGTTTCCACCCCCTGTAAATGGTGGCTGTACTTCTCCATGGCGGGGCACTAGAGATTAGTGTGGTTGGGACACGCACCAGGCCCCGGTTTCATTAACAGCGCGGTGTAAAACGAAGTCTGAATTCACACCTGTAATCCCAGCCCTCAGAATGTGGAGGCGGGAGGATCACAATTCATTCTCTGGTACAGTAGGGTGTTGGGGCCTTGCCTGGTGTTGTAAACAGAGGAGGCAGAGGCAGGAGGAGCCCTGTGACTTGGTCTATAGCCTGGTCTACATATGGAATTTCAGGGCAGCCTGGGCTACATATGGAATTTCAGGACAGCCTGGGCTACATAGAGAGAGCCTGTTCTGTGCTGGGCAAGTGCCCCTGTCTCCCGCTACAACAAAGCCGTCTCTTCACTTAGTGTTGGTGAACGTCCTGGGGTGGGTGAGACCGCCTGAAAAGGAGGCGCTGGAGAGGTGGCTGGGTAAAGAGGGCTTGCTGCCCTTCCAGACCCCAGTTGATTCCCAGTGCCCATGTCTGCACTGACCATCAGCTGTGACTTCAGCTCTAGGGCATCCTCGCCCTGCTTCTGTGGGCTCTGCGTACACACATTAATTAATTTTTTTTTCTTAGTTTTTCGAGACAGGGTTTCTCTGTATTGTTTTGGAGGCTGTCCTGGAACTCACTCTGTAGACCAGGCTGGCCTCGAACTCACAGAGATCCGCCTGCCTCTGCCTCCCGAGTGCTGGGATTAAAGGTGTGCACCACCACCGCCGGCCTTTTTATTTATTGTATATACAGTCTTCTGCCTCATTTAAGGTGGTTGGGAGCCACCATGTGGTTCCCAGGAATTGAACTCAGGACCTCTGGAAGAACAGTCAGTGCTCTTAACCGGTGAGGCATCTCTCCAGCCCCAAATTAATCTCTTTGTTGTTGTTGGTGGTGGTTTTTTTTTTTTTTTTTTTTTTTTTTGCTTTTCAGGACAGATTTCTCTGCATTTCTTTGGAGGCTGCCCTGGAACTCGCTCTGTAGACCAGGTTGTCCTCGAACTCACAGAGATCCTCCTGCCTCTGCCTCTTGAGTGCTGGGATTAAAGGTGTGCGCCACCACCGCCCGGCAGTCCTCACAATCTTGCTCCAAGTAAAGGCTATGGAGCCACTTAGAATCGAGGATGCTGTGACCCAGAGAGGTCAGCAGAAATAGGCCCAGCCTGTAACCCCAGTACTCAGGAGGTGGAGGCAGGAGCATCACCAAGCGTTCAAAGCCAGCCGGAGGTGCATAGCAAGTATTAGACTAGCCAAGGAAAATCCTTGGAATGAAAACTAAGAAAAGAAGCAGGGATGAAGCCCCTTGTTTCCTGGCCTTCATGGCAGTTCACCGTTGTGCGTGTTGAGTTCCTGGTAATGATGTGTTGGGGAGGGTCCCCAGAGTTCACGTCCCTGAGGTTCTGAGAGCCCTGTCTTCTGTGCCCAACTTTCAGGGTCATGGAGTCCTGGAGATGCCCTCAGGCACAGGGAAGACAGTGTCCCTGCTGGCCCTGATAGTGGCCTACCAGAGGGTGAGTGGCCACCCCAAGAGTCTGGGCTGGGGATCGGGGAGGGACTGGGTGGGGCTGAGCTGATTGTCATCCACAGGCTTTTCCGCTGGAGGTGACCAAACTTATCTACTGCTCTCGGACCGTGCCAGAGATTGAGAAGGTGGGCAGTGGGGTGGGCCCGGTGCTCCGTCCCCTCCCCTGGGCCTCAGTGGTCCCCAGTTGCTGCCCTCACTGGCCTGGTGGGCCTGGTGGGCAGGCTTCTGCTTGTCCTGTCTGAGTCCCCACGCGATGCTCCCATCTCTAAGCAGGTCATAGAAGAGCTCCGCAAGCTGCTCAGCTTCTATGAGCAGCAGGAGGGCGAGAAGCTGCCGTTCCTGGGACTGGCACTGAGCTCAAGAAAGAACCTGTGCATTCATCCCGAGGTGAGACCCCGGGCTCGCCCTCAGCCTTGGGCTACCCAGTACCAGCCCGAGACAACCGTGGCCAGTATGAGGTGACCACCAATGTAACTCCTTTTTCAGGCTCATCCGTCATAGCCCAGGTTAGCTCCTGTGCCTAGATCAGAAACTGCTTGAGTGCCAGTGTGGCGCCTCAGAATTTCTCACTTGACCTTAACGGGATAAGTCAAGGTCTAAGTGGCATTGCACACTTGAAGTGTTGGGATTTTTGTATACCTGAAACATAAATGAATTTCATGGCAGCTTCCTGTCCTCTCTGACGGTAGCCATTATGTGTATGAAGGTATTCCAGAACCTCAAAACACAGTTGAGCCAAGGGCTTCTCAGTGAAAAACAAGGTTTCTCTGTGTAGCCCTAGCTGTCCTGGAACTCATTCTGTAGACCAGGCTGGCCTCAAACTCACAGAGATCCGCCTGCCTCTGCCTCCCAAGTGCTGGGATCAAAAACGTGTGCCACTACTGTCAGCTTGATTTTTTTTAAAAGATTTATTTACTTACTGGCAGGTTTTTATTAATTTTTTTAAAGATTTATTTATTATGTGTACGGTATTCTGCCTGCATGTCTGCAGGCCAGAAGAGGGCACCAGATCTCATTACAGATGGTTATGAGTCACCATGGGGTTGCTGGGAATTGAACTCAGGACCTCTGGAAGAACAGTCAGTGCTCTTAACCTCTGAGCCATCTCTCCAGCCCCAGGTTTTTATTTTTAAACACTCCTATTGAGTGTGCTTTTTAAAGGTATTTTTATTTATTGTGGGTGCAGTGTTCTTCCTACACACATGTCTGCACATGCCTCACTGTGGGCCTGGCCTGAGCGTGCCCTCCCGTCCTCCCGCTTCGGCTGTCTTAGTAACTGGGACTCGGGCACGTGCTGCCATGCCCAGCTCTGGGGACAGTTCTGAGTCTTAGCGGTGCTCCCTCTCTGACACCCTGAGGAAGTCCTTTTAACTAGCAGTGGCTCAGGTAGAGGCTCCAGTGCCCAGAAACCCCAGCGGACGTGCTACTCGTGGTGTCCCGAGTTTGGGGGCCCAGGTTGGCATGGCTGGCACACGCTGCCTCCTGTCTCTGTTGTAAGCTGTCCCCTGACCCCCAGGTGACACCCCTGCGCTTTGGGAAGGACGTGGATGGCAAGTGTCACAGCCTCACCGCCTCCTACGTGCGAGCCCAGTACCAGCAGGACGCCAGCCTGCCTCACTGCCGCTTCTATGAGGTGCGGGGAGGGCCCGGCCGGGAAGGGCACAGGCACTCGGGACAGCAGCTCCCTGACCCTGCCATCCTCTGCCTTCCCCAGGAGTTTGACACCCATGGGCGCCAGGTGCCCCTCCCTGCAGGCATCTACAACCTGGACGACCTGAAGGCCCTGGGGCAGCGGCAGGGCTGGTGCCCCTACTTCCTGGCTCGATACTCGGTGAGGGGTTGTTTTGTTTTCCTCTGGGGCAGGGTCTCCCTTATAACCCAGGCTGGTGTCACCTAGAATGCCCTTACCTCAGTTTCCCAGCTATGGGTCATAGGGACCCCTCCGTCAGCCCGTGTGTCTGCTTGTGCGCTGTTGACCTGGTTTCCAGGCCTTCCTATCTCCGTCCTGTCTCCTGTCTCTGCCTTGCCTGGTGGTCCCGTCTGTCGCGTCTGTGCACCGGGAAGGAGCGGTGTGCCGGGGGCAGCAGGACCAAGGCCAACCCCTTTCCCTCTGCGTGCCTAGATCCTGCATGCCAACGTGGTGGTTTACAGCTACCACTATCTCCTGGACCCCAAGATCGCAGACCTGGTGTCCAAGGAGCTGGCCCGCAAGGCCGTTGTGGTCTTCGATGAAGCCCACAATATTGGTGAGGAGGGTGCGGGCTGTGCAGACGTGTGTGTGTGTGTGTGTGTGTGTGTGTGTGTGCGCGCGCGCGCAGCCCCTCTGCCCCGCCCCCAAGCCGGGCTTAGCCCAGCGCTCCCCTCTCCTCTGCTCTCCTCCCTAGACAATGTCTGCATCGACTCCATGAGCGTCAACCTCACCCGCAGGACTCTGGACCGCTGCCAGAGCAACTTAGACACCCTGCAGAAGACCGTGCTCAGGTGCTCACCCTGCTCCCCGTGGGCCGCCTGCCTCCCCGGGGCCCTCGACGGCCGGCCCGCTCCAGCCTGTCCCGTGTCCCATCAGGATCAAGGAGACCGATGAGCAGCGGCTGCGGGACGAGTACCGGCGCCTGGTGGAGGGGCTGCGTGAGGCCAGTGCGGCCCGGGAGACAGATGCCCACCTCGCCAACCCCGTGCTGCCGGACGAGGTGCTGCAGGGTGAGCCGCGCCCCAGCCCCGCCCCTCACGCCCTCCTTCCTGTGCGGCTGACTCAGTCTCCCTGCAGAGGCCGTGCCCGGCTCCATCCGCACCGCAGAGCACTTCCTGGGCTTCCTGCGGCGCCTGCTGGAGTACCTCAAGTGGCGGCTGCGCGTGCAGCATGTGGTGCAGGAGAGTCCGCCTGCCTTCCTGAGCGGCCTGGCCCAGCGCGTGTGCATCCAACGCAAGCCCCTCAGGTGCGCCGCCAGGGGGGCCACAGCCTGGTGACAGGGGCAGGTCACAGCTGGGTATGGAGGGAGCCCGTGGTGGGTGTCAGTGTGAGAGAGTGTGGGTGTGTCTGTGTGTGAGAGTGTGAGTGTGTCTGTGTGTAAGGGGGAGCTGGTGACGCAGCCTCTGTGAGCCTGGGAAAGTGTGGCTGTTCCTCTTTGAGCGTGGGGTCATGACCTGGCTGCGGGGTGGTAACACAGGAGCAGACTGACTGTTGGCCATGGGTCTCGTCTGACAAGAATTTGCATACGAGCGGCGAGCCTGGGCACCACGTGATAGTGTTGTGCGCCATCCTGGAGTAACAGCTCTGGGTGCTTGCACAGTGTGGACACAGCTTGGCCACAGACAGTGCCAGGTGCCCAGCCTGTTGTTGCTGCCCTCTGCCGACCCCGTTGCTCCTCAGGTTCTGTGCTGAGCGCCTGCGCTCCCTGCTGCACACCTTGGAGATTGCTGACCTGGCGGACTTCTCCCCGCTCACACTCCTTGCTAACTTCGCCACTCTCGTCAGCACTTACGCCAAGGGTAAGCTCCCCTCTTGCCTCTCCTGGGGGCCTGGCAGCACGACTTGGGGGCCGGGCATTTGTTACAGGAGGTCTGGGCCCTGGGGAGCGGTACCGTGTCTGTGAGCGGGCGAGCCTCCTGTTGAGACTCTGAGTCCAGAGGCTCCTCCTGGCTGCAGAAGGGAGAAAGCGAGTGAGCCGGCTGAGAGGCCTCACGTAAGCCCGCGGGCACTGGGGAGCCGCGGCAGCGTCTGGGCAAGGGGTGCTCACCTAACAGAGACAGGGAGCCGCAGGCTCTGGGGACAGGGAAAGAGGGGCTTAGGGAGAGCCGTGGGAGAGAGAGGCCAGAGTGTAGAAGCTTGGTGGCTGCATGAAGACCCTGAGGGAGAGGGACGCTGGCTGACACACGAGGCAGAGGGGACACGGTCGCCGCAGCTTTGCCTGGGTCACCCCCCCCCCCAGCTGTACACTGAGTTTTTAAGCTTATCCCTGGGGATTACTACTGTAGCCAGGAAACCAGGTCAGCTGGCATCCTAGCTGGCCCGGCCTCGGAAGGAGGACACCCGCCGTCAGCGCACCCCAGGGCTGTGGGCAGCTGCCCCTTCCTTCTGCCCCCACCCAGCCCCTTCTCTTGGCCCTCATGGTTCTCCCTCCAGCCCCAGCCACCGAGCCTTCTTCCCCTGCCTAGTCAAGTCCTTTATCTCTCAGAGAGTCGCCCGCCCCACTCCATGCTGGGCCTGCTCCCCCTGTCCCAGCCGGGTCTCTGGATCACTGCGCGCCACCCCCCCCCCGTGCAAGGGGAGCCCTTGTGGGTGGGACCAAGACTCTGCTGGGCACTGCTGTGTCCTCAGCATGATGCTGGACACAGGACCTGATGGCTCCTTGCCAAGTGAAACAGAAACTGTGAATGTAATCATTGGTTCAGTCAACAAACGGGCCAGGCTGGGCCCTGTGGAGACAGCGGGTCTAACGCAGTCAGTGTAGACCCTGTGGAGACAGCGGATCTAACGCAGTCAGTGTAGACCCTGTGGAGACAGTGGATCTAACACAGTCAGGGTAGACCCTGAGAGACAGCGGATCTAACAGCCTTAGCTGCACCCTCATCCCCCCCATCCATATCCCAACCCTCACCCAGGAGTCACAGCCTGGGGGCCAGGAGCAAGGTCATCCCAGGAGACAACATGCAGCAGTGCCTCCCAGGGGGCTGTGGGACGAGGACTCAGCCAGTCAAGTGGGCCCTGGGGAGGACCCTGGGGAGGATGGGGACGGTAGCTAGACGCTAGGGTGACACTGCAGAGCTCATGGCACACTAGTGGGTGTGGGCAGGGTGGAGACACCAGCATCCTGAGGTTCCGCGGCGTCTCCCTTCTGCAGGGGGGGGGGCAGAGCTGCCTGGGGAGGGGCGGCCTGGCCTCACTGCTTGCACAGAGGATTTGCCCAGCCCTGCCATGCGCTAGCCGTGCAGGGGCATGGGCGGGTGGGGGCTGTTGTGCGCATCACTTGGATGGTGTCTGGGGACACAATGGGTCTCCTGTGTAGTGACCGCACGGCACTCACCAGCCCCCTCCTCCCAGGCTTCACCATTATCATCGAGCCCTTCGATGACAGGACCCCCACCATCGCCAACCCCGTCCTGCACTTCAGGTGAGGTGCGACCCTGTGTGGACGCCATGGCTTTGGCCCCGCCTCTGCCCTGAATGATGACTGTGTTGTCCCACAGCTGCATGGACGCCTCCCTGGCCATCAAGCCCGTGTTTGAGCGCTTCCAGTCTGTCATCATCACCTCTGGGGTGAGGACTGGGTGCTGTTGCTCCGCGGGGTCCTGGTCCCTGCCCCCTCCTGCTGAGGTCCCTTTGCTGTCTGTTGCAGACGCTGTCCCCACTGGACATCTACCCCAAGATCCTGGACTTCCACCCCGTCACAATGGCGACCTTCACCATGACGCTGGCCCGAGTCTGCCTCTGCCCCATGGTGAGCGGGTGAGACCCATGGGGGCCGGGGGATTTCTCCCAGCACCCCGGACCGCATAGTGCTTAGGGAGCAGGCCTGTGCTCCGTCACCATCGGTCAGGGTGAGCGTGCTGTTTGTCATCCATCTGTGACCTGGGTAGTGACCCTCCGTCTGCAGCCTAGGGCAGGGCTGTGTCCTCTCGGCTCGTAGCCTCTGCCTTGGAGTTTAGAGCCTGGCAGGTTTTTAGACATGTTCACCCCATAGCCCATGAGCCACGTGAAGCCAGCTGTGGCTGGGGATGCGGCGCTGCCCCTCAGAAACACTAACCCTTGTACAAGGTTTGTCGCCTGGTCGCATGCTTGTGGAGCACGAGCTGTGTCGAGGGAGGGCAGTGCCAGGAGTGAGCTGTCTGCAGGCTGCTCACCTGGCAGCAGGGACAGGCGGTGGTTTCTTGGGCTGCGGGCTTTTTGGGATGTTCCCCCTGACCTCTCACCGGCATGGTGGACTGAGGAGTGGTCCTAATGGGTGTGTGTTTTGAGTGACCCGTGTTCTGGAGCTACCTAAGGCTGGAGTGTTGTAGCCTTGCTTAGAGGCACAGAGGTCCCTGCCCTGGGCTTGTTGCTATGTGACTGTAGGCCCGTGGCTTGTGACTGAGCTCTAGACATCCAGCTTAGGACCACGGTCTGCATGAGGCTTTCCTGAGCTCAGGCCTAATGCACGGCAGGCCTTGGGGTCCGTGCCTGGCAGTACCTGTGATCAGGAGGACCAGGAGTTCAGGATCACCTTGGCTACATGGAACTTCAGAGGTTGGAGAACAGCCTTCTCATGGGCTTGGGAGGATGGGTAGCCTCAGTGAGGCTCCTAGACTAAAGGCCAGCCTGGGCTACATGAGACACTATCTCAAAAAGGGGACATTTGTCTGTCACGTGTGTCACAGCACCTTCATCTGACTTCCAGATCATTGGCCGTGGTAATGACCAGGTGGCCATCAGCTCCAAATTTGAGACCAGGGAAGATATTGGTGAGTCACCTGTGTGGCTTGGTGACAGTGTGTCGCAGGTGGAGAGGGCCTGCTCCACAACAGGCCCCAGCCTCTGGCTAACACAGGCCCACTGTGGGTTGAGTCCCCGGGGTCTCCTCACTTTGGGGCTGCACCACCAGGCACATCACTGAGCCTTTGGAACACAGCCACCCCCACACGTCTCTTGTGCTGGGACACGTCATAAGAACCTCGGGGTGGCGGGGGTGGGGCAGTGGACAGCTTGGGAGGAAGAATCGGGATATGGGTGAGTAGCCTCAGTGGGCGGCAGGAGAGGATGCAATCTCCAACCCCCCCTCTCTAGCTGTAATCCGCAACTATGGCAACCTCCTGCTGGAGATGTCTGCTGTGGTCCCCGACGGCATTGTGGCCTTCTTCACCAGCTACCAATACATGGAGAGCACTGTGGCCTCGTGGTATGAGCAGGTACGCCTAGTCCCCACTGCCCAAACCTCAGCTCCACTCTTCCTGTGGGGGCTTCACTCCCCATCTTCCCACTGGTGACGCGGCACACCACAGGATGCCATCCCCACCACAAGCCTGCAGGCTGTCAGTGTTTCCTCCACCAGAGGGGACCACCCCGCCTCTGGGGTCACTGCAGACTGTGTCCCCAGCAAGCAGGCCTGCTGCCGGGGACGGTGCTGTGAGCTCAAGGTTCCGAGAGTTAGGCAGGGATAGAACTCCCACTGCAGGGGCTCTCGTAAGTGTGTGGATGAGGCCCTGGGGTCTGGTGCTCCATGGGGCTACAGGGACCATTGTCCCTCTGTCTTGTGACTGCACTGAGCCCAGCTTCTCAGGCCTGGGTTCGAACAGGCCCTGTAGACCGTGACTCAGGCAGGCACCTAGTCTGGACTTCCCCATGAGGGGCTGCAGGTCTAGTTAAGGGTTGAGCATGCCCCAGGAACTTGCCACAGTCTATCCCTAACCCTGAAAACCAAGATCGAGAGCCGCCTGAGGTTTTGAGGCTGCAGTGTCTTAGCTGTGTCTATGAGGCAACAGTTGTTTTTCCAAGCAACAGTTCCGTAGTTAGCGTTTTTTGTAAAGAACTCTGCTCACTGAGTTGCACTGGTAACCCTGGCTGGTGCCTCAGGACCCTTTTTCCTGACAAGGTTAATCTGTGTAGCTTTGGAGGCTGTCCTGGAACTCGCTCTGTAGACCTCCCAAGTGCTGGGATTAAAGGTGTGCGCCGTCCCCCCCTCCCCCTGGCCAGGACCCTGTATCTGGTTCTGGTTGGTGGCCTGACTTTCGTGGCAGTCACTGCAGTGACAGACTGCAACTCTCGGGATAGCCCGTGGCTGGTCCTGCCTGGATTACGGCCAGGCCCTCCACCGGCCAATTTGGGCCCCGTGCCCACCTTCTCGGGTGGGATCGGCTCCCCGCTTTGAACTGCCAAAGAGGCTGGACAGCTGAGGGCCTGGAGAAGGATCTCCGTGGGAGGCCACAGCGGCCACAGCGGCGGTGCTTGGTCCTGTGTCTGACCTCCCTGTCCCCCCCAGGGCATCCTTGAGAACATCCAGAGGAACAAGCTACTCTTCATCGAGACCCAGGACGGGGCAGAGACCAGTGTGGCCCTGGAGAAGTACCAGGAGGTGTGTGCCGGGACAGGCAGGTGGGCGGTGGCGCACGGGAAGGGCTGAGGAGTGACGGGCTGCCTCTACCTCCCCAGGCGTGCGAAAACGGCCGGGGGGCCATCTTGCTCTCAGTGGCTCGGGGCAAAGTGTCGGAAGGGATTGACTTTGGTGAGTGGACCCGGCTCTGGGCCAGTGCCTGCCCTCCCTACCGTGGCCGTTCCCCTGGGGACCGCTGGCACACAGAGGGGTCTTTTCCACACCCCGGGTGACCTAAGCATGCAGCCTGGTGCCAGCCCCCAGCCCCCGACGCGCGGTAACCCTGCTGTCTGCCCCCAGTGCACCACTACGGGCGGGCTGTCATCATGTTCGGTGTCCCCTATGTCTACACCCAGAGCCGCATTCTCAAGGTGAGTGGGGCAGTGGAGGAGGGCATCGTGTGTGGGAAGGAGGGCTGGACCCCGCTGACTCCTCCCTCCCCAGGCCCGGCTGGAGTACCTGCGGGACCAGTTCCAGATCCGAGAGAACGACTTCCTCACCTTTGACGCCATGCGCCACGCAGCCCAGTGTGTGGGCCGGGCCATCAGGGGCAAGACAGACTACGGTCTCATGGTCTTTGCAGACAAGGTGGGGGCCTGTGGGACCCCAACCCAGCCCTTCCTCTCAGGGGACGGGTGGTAGGCAGCCTGGGTTCCGGCCGGGGTTCAAGTCCTCCCCTCCCTCCTCAGCGCTTTGCCCGGGCCGACAAACGTGGGAAGCTGCCTCGCTGGATCCAGGAGCACCTGACAGACTCCAACCTCAACCTGACGGTGGACGAGGGTGTGCAGGTCGCCAAGTACTTCCTGCGGCAGATGGCGCAGCCCTTCCACCGGGTGAGCCCCTTCTCCCCCCTCCCTCCCGGTCACCTCAGGGTCCCCATGTCCAGGAAGTAGGGCAGCCCAGGAGACACTGATGAGAGACCCAGTGGTCATGTTGATGTGTCCTGCCCTTCACCTCTGCCCCCAGGAAGATCAGCTGGGCCTGTCACTGCTCAGTCTGGAGCAGCTGCAGTCTGAGGAGACGCTGCGGCGGGTTGAGCAGATCGCACAGCAGCTCTGAACACAGGACTGTGGCGACATCTGTGCCACCAGGAAGGTCCCCGGACCCTCAGGCAGTCACCCAGTGCCAGACAGAGTACAGTCTTTAATTGCAGGGTCCCGATCCACAGGTGCCACCGTGCAGGGTGCCAGGCAGCCACCCATCCCCTCCCCGGTTCCTGGGCAGCCGTGGCCACCGCAGCCGGCCACTTATCGAGGGCTCAAGTCCTGGGTGCTGGCGCTGAGGGTCCGAGAGGCCTCACTCAGGGTCCCGGTTGAGAGCTGGGGGCAGGCACCGGAGCCGTCAGAGCTCTCTTCCAGTTGACACTGGGCTGTCATGCCTCTCCCCCACCCCACCCACGTGCTTGTCCCCGAGGGAGCCCCGCCTCTCCCGTCTGGCTGAGCCTGCCAGCGGCACCCGCTCCATCTCTGGCCTCACCTGCGTCCTGGCGGCCCGCGGGCCATCCACGTTCAGCGTGTTGAGTGACATGGCCCTCTTCATCCTGCAGAGGACAGGAGTGGGTCAGGGAGGCGTCACAGAGGAGGGCTGACAGGCTGCTGACCCCAGCCAGCACTCACCCTGCAGCCCCTGCCGCGGCCTCCCCTCGGAGGCGCGAGACCAGCTTCTCACTGCCCCTCCGGATGGACTCCCGCAGCTTGGAGAAGGAGCTGCTCCTGCGCAGGACCTGGGGAGGGCGGGCACGGTGACATGTGGGGACATGGTGGGGACCCACCCAGGACCCGGGTGGGGCCTGCTTACTTGCTGCTGTGCGTCACCAGCCGTGCCTGCGTGGGGGGCTCCTGTGGGACAGAAGGTGGTGGGGTGACAGGCGCCACACCGGAGGGAGGGTGGGCAGGAAGTAGGGGTGCGCTCACCAAGCGGGGCGGGCAGGGCCTCCTGGCTGAGGATCTCCTTGTACAGCTCCTCAGCCTGCTGGTACTTGTTCTGTTTCAGGTAGGCCGAGGCCTGCGGGGAGGGCAGGGGCAGGGGCAGGGCGCGGCCATCTGGTTTAGGCCTGGGAACGTCTCAGACCTGGCCGCCGCCTTCCCCGCACCCTGCCTCAGCTGATCACAGTGCAGACGCCCCTCTGTGCCTCGCTTTCCTACCTCAGTGAAATGTTAGGGGCATCTGCTGTGAAATAAAGCCTGACACAGGCTTCTGTGAACGGGTTCGCTCCTGGCCTCGTGTTACTCGGGACCCCCGCCCCTGCCCGCAGAGTCCCCGGAAGGACCCACACCCCCGCCCCTGCCCGCAGAGTCCCCGGAAGGACACACCCGTGCCTCACCAGGTTGTTTTTGGTCTTGGCCACGTTGGGGTCCTGCGGCCCCCCCAGGGCCTCGTAGATGCTCAGGGCCCGCGCGTAGTGCCGCTCCACGTCCTGGAACTTGCCTTGGTTCTGACAGAGCAAGGCCAGGTTGTTGAGCTGCTTGGCTACATCCGGGTGGTCGGCGCCCAGGACCTGGGGACGCACAAGCCATGTGTCACATAGGGTGGTCCGTGAGATGCCACAGTCACCCAGGGTCACAGGCTGGGGACGTGGTGACCAAGGAGAAGTTAACAAGGGGGGTGGGAATTAGTGAAGCCAGAGGTCACGGGTGCGGAGCCCAACAAACCAGCTTGGAGATGGGACGTGGGTCAGGGAGTGGGTGCCCAGGCCCAGGTGGGAGAACAGCAGCCGAAGGCCAGGCACCCCAGGGGCGAGCACCTTCTCCCGGATCTCCAGGGCACGCTGGCATAGGGGCTCTGCCTCCCGGTAACGTCCACGCTTCCCGTAGAGGACGGCCAGGTTGTTGAGGGTGGCGGCCACCTGCAGGGGGAGAGTTGGCAGAGGAGGGCCCCTGCAGTCCCCCCAAGCCCACCCTCCCCGAACTGCTGCTCACCGCAGGGTGTTCAGGACCCAGAGTCTGCTCCCGGATTTGTAGGGCGTCGTGAAGAAGGTCCGTGGCCTCCTTGTATTTGTTCTGGTCCCTGCCGAGCAGGGATGGAAGGCAGGGTTAAGCTGGGGTCACTGGCTGGACTGAACCAGGTGTCCCTGACATCTCTCAGGGGTCCCCTGTCTCCCACACATCCCAGGCCTCTGCCAATTCTGTCCAGCGTTGGGTCTCCTGTCCCTTGCCCACCCTGGTGCCCAGACTGGATCTCTCCAGATCTCTGTTCCTTCCGTTGTCCGCCCCCCCATTCTGCTGCCCCCTGGATGCTTTATCTCCAGGGGATCGCCAGTGTACCCCGCTACCACAGACGCGTCAGCCACGGCGCTCACCTGTATACCAGTGCCAGGATGTTCAGCATAGTGGCCACGTCGGGGTGGCAGTGGCCCGAGCTCCGCTCCAGGTCCTCCAAGGCCTGGCGACACAGAGGCACAGCCACCTCGTAGCGGCCCTGGCCAGCGTACTGGATGACCAGGTTGTGCAGGGTCCGCAGGCGAGCCGGGATCTCATAACCACCCTGCTGCGCTGCTGCAGCCCCCGCTGCCTCGGGACCTGGAGGGGGTGGCGTGGAGTCCTCTGTGGGCCTCAGCCCGCACCCAACCTCCGTCCGGCACCAGGGCCGACACTGCCCACGGGGGTTACCGGCATCAAACCGGCCAGTGGGATGTTCGGTGCCAGCACAGAACCAGCCTCCGGGCTAATGAGGGCCCCCCGATTCATCTTCCAGACCCTGCCCTCCCTCCCCACGCCGTGCCCGGCTCAGAGACCTTGGCGTCCCAGGTCAAGGCTCCAGCCCCGGGCTTAGCCTGCAGTCCTGGGTGACGACGACCCTCTGATAGCGTGCCCAGGTCTCCCACACACACCTTTCCTTTCCTCCTCTTCACTGGGGAACAAAGAAGCCAGGCTGTCTCGGCGAGGCGGGGACTCGGGCCTCTGTGGGGACCAGGAAAGAGTAATTCCCAGAACAGCAAGCGTCAGTGCCCTGAAGCTGCTTCAGGCCTGCCCGGGAGGCTCTCTGTTGTCTAGAGCAGGGGTTCACTCTGTAGACCAGGCTGGCCTCGAACCCTCAGAGACAGACGCACCTGCCTCCGCCTCCGCAATGCTGGGGTGCCAGGCTTCAGGACTAGTTTTGTCTGTGAGCCTCACTATGTAGCCCAGGCTGGCCCTGAGCTCTCAGCACCCTCCAACCTCAGCCACACCAGCTCTGAGTCTGACAGAGATGTGTGGGTTAGGAGTCTTCGAGGTCTCAGGGGCTGAGGAAGAGCATGGAGGGGGCTTTGGGGAGCCACACGTGCCAGAAAGGGCTCGGGGTGCCCAGGGGCTCTGTACCTGGCTGTCCTCGGGCGGATCGTACTGCCGCAGCTGGCCCAGGAACTGCAGATGGCTCTTCTCCTCCTCCAGCTGGGCCACGGCCTCCTCACTGGCCCGCAGTCGCCGCTGCGTCTCCTCCAGTTCCTCTCGGAGCCACATGTTCTCTTGGGCTAGCCTCCGCGCCTGCGCCCGCAGCCTCTGCTTCTCCGCCTCTAGCACCCCCACGTGTGCGGACAGGGCCAGCAGCACCTGAGAAGCATCGGGACCGAGGGCAGTGGGGGCAGCCCTGGGACAGCCCCAGGCCCAGCCCAGGCTCTGATAGTAAGAGTTTTCCAGAAACCCCTGACTTCAACCAAACTATGCATAGGGCTAATTGCTACTCCATCTGTTTAACCCAGCACCTGTGTAAAATTCATCTGTGAATAACAGGGGTGTGGCTCAATGGTAAAGCCCCTGCCTAGAATCCCCCAGTGAGGGGCTGGGGCGTGGCTCAGTGGTAGAGCCCCTGCCTAGAATCCCCCAGTGAGGGGCTGGGGTGTGGCTCAGTGGTAGAGCCCCTGCCTAGAATCCCCCAGTGAGGGACTGGGGTGTGGCTCAGTGGTAGAGCCCCAGGTTTTGCTCCTGGTAGGCAAACCTCCTACCAGCACTGAGTTCTACAGGAGGGCCATGTGTGGCACACTCAACCGCTCATCCCTAAGCTTCCTAGGGATGCAATCTGACCTGCAGTCCCTCCTTCCAGGCCTGGCTCCTTCAGGCCACCTGTACCTCCCTACATTATGATCCCCTCATCCCTGGGCCTCCCCACCAGGCTAATCCTACACACAGACACAAACACACACAGACACACATACATACAGACACACACACATAGACACAGACACACATACACACACACAGAGACACAGACATGCACATACACACAGACACACACACACAGGCACACACGCTTCTCATCCCTGGTCCTTCTCATGGTCCCGCATACCTGGGCCTCGCCCAGCCCCAGCTCGATGGCCTCCAGCGAGTGGTTCACCACCTGCTGCTTCTCTTCCAGCAGCTCCGCTCCAGCCACAGGGCCCGGCCCGGCCAGCGCCTCGGCCAAGTGCCCGGCGAGGCTGTAGTGCTCCGCCCGCAGGGCCTCCAGCCCCTGCACCACCTGTCGGGTCTGCCGCACCAGCTCCTCGGGGTTCAGGCGCTCGGGGCCCAGCCCCGTGCTTCCCGGGGCTGCCACCTGCACAGACATGGCCACTCCTGGGGGGGGGGGGTCGAGGGAGTCACCATCTGGCCACGCAGACTCCCCCTGCCCGCCCACCCATCCTGCTAGCTCCCCTTTCCATCCCGGGGCAGGGGTGAAACTCTCTACCTCTGTAAACCCAGGGCTCCGCTCTAAACCGTGCGAAGTAATTAGCTAAGAGGGCGAACAGCTGGCTCCAGCCGCCCCCTCCACCCCGCTCACCTGGCCGGGCCCCCCCACCCAGGTCCCCAGACACCCAGGCTCAGAGCTCCCGGCCTGCTAAGCGCGCCCTAGGACCGGAGGCGCCACCTCTGCCAGGCTGGGGGCGGGGCGTGTGGAGGCGGCAGGATGAGGTGAGCTCATTCTTAGGGTGTTTTTGTCAGGAACCAGTCAGGCCACTGGGTGGGGGGGGGGGGAGCGGAGGGGCGGGATGAAGGATGGAGCCCTGAAAGCTGGGAAGTCGAGCAAAGGGCCTGGGGGCGGGAGGGGGGTCTAAGAGGGGCCTGAAAGTTGGCTCCCGAGTTTGGCAAGACCTTGAGGGACCAGGACCAGGGGCCCCAAACAGCCCAAGGTTTGATGAGACGCACCTGGGCTAGCCATGGCTCACGGGTGGCAGAGGCCATGTGACACCCGGGCATCTGAGGCTGGTAAGGGGTGAGAAGGGGTGAGGGTCCCCTAGTGGGGTTACATGTGGGTGACCGAGTCAGAGGTACAGTGAGTCTCTCTCTCTCTCTCTCTCTCTCTCTCTCTCTCTCTCTCTCTCTCTCTCTCTCTCTCTCTCTCTCTCTCTCTCTACACACACACACACACACACACACACTATTCAAACACACCCCAGCAAACACATACAAAACTCTCTCATCCTTATTATTTATTATGTTTTAGCCGGGGTCTCACCATGTATTCCAGACTGGTCTAGAACTCACTGAAATCCACCCATCTCTGCCTCCAGAGAGCCTGAATTAGAGGGATGTGCCACCACACCTAGGCTTTACTTTATTTATTTTTGAGGTTGGGTCTTAGGTGCCCAGGCTGCCCTTGGCCCTGCTATATAGTTAAAGATGACCTTATACAACGTGAACCACCACATTCAACTTACGGGGTCCTGAGGGTGAACCGGATCCGGGGCATGCTGGGCAAGCACTCTATCCACCGAGCGGCAGCCCAGGTCCTTCTTAAAGACGCGACGGCAGACATAATCCCATCTCAGCTACACACACACACACACACAGACACAGACACACTCACACACAGACACACACACACACAGGCACACACACACACAGACACACACACACACAGGCACACACACACAGGCACACACACACAGGCACACACACACAGGCACACAGACACACACACACACAGGCACACACACACACACACACACACACACACACGCACTCCCGCCTTTCACACGCCCCCACACCTCTAAACAAACACGCATACATGTATGACCTCATTAGAAATACAACATAGTAAAAGAAACAACAGGGAAGAAATAGAGCATCATTATACATTCCCATCTTTGAAATCCAAAACACACCACACTTTCTCCTCCCCACAAAGTTCAGAGTCAGGCTAGCGTACACCACACACAGGCTGGTCCTGGAGGCTGGGGCAGGAGCAGCATAGGATGAGGAGCCATGAGTTCTGCTTTGAAAAAAGAAAAAATGGGCTGGAGAGATGGCTCAGTGGTTACGGCTGCTCTTCCGAAGGACCCAGAGTTCGATTCCCGGCACCCACATGGCAGCCCACAGCTCCATGTAACTCCAGTCCCAGAGGACAGGGGATCTGACACCCTCATACATATATACATGCAGGCAAGACACTAATGCACATGAAATAAAAAACAAATAAAAAAAAGAGCCCCTGTTGCCCTTGTAGAGGACCTGCTCTTGTATGTTAGCTTCCAACCACACCTCCAGTCCCAGGGGATCTCGCCCTCTTCTGGCCTCCATGGGCAATGCACACACGTGGTACACACACATGCATGCAGACACACACTCATGTACATAAAGATAAATCTTAAATGAAAAGGTGCACGCTGCAGACACAGCTGGCCAAGCATGGCCAAGGCCCTAGGTTCCATTTCTTGTACCAAAAGGAAAAAAAGTTGAGGGACAGTCATGTGTTACAGACATGAGATCTGAGTTCTCCAGAGGCAGAAGATCAGGGGTTCAAAGCCATCCTTGGTTAAACCTTCCCGCCTCCATCCCCCAAGTGCTGGTTACAGGCAGAATGCACTGTTCCAGAGCTCTGCTTTTTACGGGGTCTTTTTTGTTTTTGTTTTGTTGTGATTTTTGGAGACAGGGTTTCTCTGTGTAGCTTTGGAACCTGTCCTGGTAACTTGCTCTTGTAGACCAGGCTGGCCTCAACCTCACAGAGAGCCGCCTGCCTCTACCTCTCGAGTGTTGGGATTAATGCCTGGCTTAATACCTGTAATGTTTAAAGAGACAATCCTCTAATACACAGAGTCATCCCCCCACACACATACACACCAGTTTCCTCTGACGATCTTGGGCTGCCTAAAATAGCTTTTCCCATGTCCCAGCCTCACAAGCAGGTCGTGCTGCAGAATTCTTTCCCAGGGAGACCAAACTTCAAACTCTGAAGTATAGTTTCTCCTTGGTGCCATTTTCAAAGGGTTTTAAGTGAAAAAATCCTAATTCTGTGAGTTCGGGGCCAACCTGATCCACAGAGCTAGTTCTAGGACACCCAGGGTTACACAGAGAAACCCTGTCTTACAAAACCAGGCTGTGGTGGCACACACTTTTAATCCCAACACTCAGGAGGCAGAGGCAGGCGGATCTCTGTGAGTTCGAGGCCAGCCTGGTCTACAGAGCGAGTTCCAGGCAGGCTCCAGAACAATACAGAGAAACCCTGTCTTGAAAAGCTAAAAAAATAAGAACCAAACCAAACAAAACACATCACAGGGTGTAGGCAGGAGCCACACAAGTGATCAGTCTCTTACGGCCGCCAGCATGGCCAGCGCCGCCGCCACCTCCCACCCCAATCTCAAACCCAAGCCGAAGCCCAGATGCAGCCTCCCCCACACCACAGCCAGCTGCTCGCTTCAACAACCCCAGCGGCAGCTTCGCCACAGCCGTGAGCCACTCCGGCCGTCCCTGGCAGTCAGAGGAGCCCCGAGGGCAATCTCTCGGCACGGCTGAAGAACCCATGATAACCACCGCACAGCCCGCTGTCCATGCCATCACCCACACAGGAACATCTCTGCCATGTCACCCCCCACCCCACAGCCACCAGAGAGCTTCCAGCTGTCCATACAGCAGGCGCACGCACGCACGCACACACGCACGCACACACGCACGCACACACGCACACATGCACACACGCACACACGCACACACAGGCACACACGCACGCACACACACCTATGCAAGCCCCCCCCACCTGCATACCAGGGACACACAGCCAGGATGTCCACCGTCAGTCAGTGACAGTCACATATCGCCCAATTCCACACACACAATTCCCGCCACTGCACGACACCTAGGTCCAACCCCGTAAGAGATTCCACTCCCTGTCACACAGGTGAGTCCGCCACGAGAATAGAGCTCACCACAGACCCGGCATCTCACAGTGGCTCATGGTAAGTAGTGTGTATATAGTCCATACCTAACACACACAGGGTGGACCCACACAATCAGAAGTCACCCGCACTCACTCACCCGTCAGAGGGTGACATGGTAGCTCTATGCCCTATTTAAAAGCTTATATAGAAGCTGGGTGGTGGTGATGGCGCACACCTTTAATTCTAGCCCTTGGAAGACAGAGGCAGGGGGATCCCTGTGAGTTCGAGGCCAGCCTGGTCTACAGAGTGAGTTCTAGGACAGCCAAGACTACAGAGTGAAACCGTGTCTCAAAAAAAAATTATGGCGGGGCATTGGTGGTGCATGCCTTTAATCCCAGCACTCGGGAGGCAGAGGCAGGCGGATCTCTGTGAGTTCGAGGCCAGCCTGGTCTACAGAGTGAGTTCCAGGACAGCCTCCAAAACAATACAGAGAAACCCTGTCTCGAAAAGCCAAAAAAAAAAAAAAAAAGTATACATATGCGTGTTCAGGGTCTCTCTCTGCACCCCTGGTTGGCTGGGATTGACTATGTGGTCCAGATTGGCCTCGAGCTCAGAGATGCACCTGACTCTGCTTCCTGCGCGCTGGGATTAAAGGTGTGCACTATGATGCCCGGTCTTAAGTTATTTTTCTTTCCTTTACATTTATTGTGTGCATGGACGGTCAGAGGGCAACGTGCAGCTTGAGGGAGTCAGTCCTCCCCCTCCCACCTTGTGAATCCGGGAAATCAGCCTCAGCAAGTCAGGCTTGGCGCAAGCACCTTTACCCACTGCGGCACCTCTCGCTCTGGCCCTCCTTCCTTCCCTTCTCTTCCTTTCTGACGCTGGTACCCACGATCTATCCTCTTCCCGTCTCTCTCGAGGAAGAGCCTCCCTACGTAGCCCAGGATGGCCTCCAACTCTGCTCCTCCTCCCGCCTCAGTTTCCACCGCGCGCCCTGCCTCACACCCTCCCGTATGCACACGACGGTCCCTTACCGTGCATGTCTTGCACCGGCAGGCTGCAGCCGGCCACCCTCCCCGGGCCCCGACAGCCGCTCCCCGCGGCCGCCGAGACCCTGCAGCCAACCGCGCGTCACAAGGCCCCGCCCCGCCCCCAGCTGTTTTCCTAGCCGGCGAGGGGCGGGGCGCGGCCCGCGGGGACCCCGCCCCTCCCCCGGGCTGGTCCCCGAAGCCAGGCCCGCGGCCCTCTCTCCATCCCCCGAGACTCCCTCGGGGACCCGGCAGCAGCCGTCGCCGACCCCTGCACCCACCTGGCAGCTGCAAGTCCGAGCCGCCTGGCTGCGGCGCCCGAACACCGGTGCTCCCGCTGCGCCGCCGCCGAACCGGGCGGCTCCTCGCGAGGGCGGGGCGGGGCGGGGGCGAGGCCACGCCCACGCAGGTGAGCCGGCCACGCCCCCGACCGCCGCACACGGAGAAACCAGGCAGCCTGAGAACTTTGCAAAACTTTGTTTGGGGCCCTGCGAGCGGACTCAGGCGGTAAAGGCGCTTGCCACCAAGCCTAAGGAGCCGAGTTCGATCCCGGGACCGATTCCCCCAAGTTTGTCTTCAGATTTCCACATGTGTATAAACGGGACATGCACGCATAGGAAATAAATGCATAAAAATGTAATTTATGTCGGGCGTTGGTGGCGCACGCCTTTAATCCCAGCACTCGGGAGGCAGAGGCAGGCGGATCTCTGTGAGTTCGAGACCAGCCTGGACTACCAAGCGAGTTCCAGGACAGCCTCCAAAGCCACAGAGACACCCTGTCTCGAAAAAACCAAAAAAAAAAATGTAATTTATATATCTCTCTGATTTGTTTTGCCATTGTAACATATATATATATATATATATATATATATATATATATATATATATATATATATATAATTTTTGAAGGGTTGGAAAGATAATGGCTCAGCGGTTAGAGCACAGGCTGCCCTTGCAGGATCTGGTCTCGAGATTCCCAGTTCCAGGTGACCCAGCACCCTCTTTGCGGGGCCTCCACAGGCACAGCATGCCCACAGCGCACAGACGTGCAAGCAGAACAGCGAATAAACACAAACCTCTCCAAATTTGTTGTTTTCATAATTCCAGCCTCAGAACTTGGTAGAGGCCCTTGCTGACATGCTTGACAACCCGGTGTTCATCTCCAAGACACACATGGAGCAAGGAGAGAACTGACCCACCCCGGAAGTTGTTCTCTGAGCCCCGTGCATGCATGGAGAGTGTGGGCCCACACATGTGCATTTGTGTGTACATACAGACGCACAAATCAGAGGGGTTTTGGTGCCAGGAGTTGGTGGCGCATGCCTTTAATCCCAGCACTCGGGAGGCAGAGGCAGGCGGATCTCTGTAAATTCGAGACCAGCCTGGACTACCAAGAGAGTTCCAGGACAGCCTCCAAAGCCACAGAGAAACCCTGTCTCGGAAAACCAAAAACAAACAAACAAAAAAAAAGAGAGGGGTTTTGTTTTGTTTTGAGACAGGGTTTCTCTGTGTAATAGTCCTGGCTGTCCTGGAACTCGCTCTGTAGCCCAGGCTGGCCTCGAAATCACAGATATCCACCTGCCTCTGCCTCCCGAGTGCTGGGATTAAAGGCGTGCGCCGCCAACGCCCGGCAATTTTTTATTTTATTAACAATTCCCCCCCTCTTAGAGACAGGTCTCACTGTGTACCCCAGCGTGGCCTCACAGTCATAGAGATCCTCCTGCCTTGGTTCCCTTAGTGCTGGGATTACAGCCACTGCACCCTAAGTTGTCTTTGTTTTATTTTGGGGGACCGTGTCTTCCTATAAAGCTCAGGCTGAGCTCAAATTCACAATCCTCCTGCCTCAGTCTCCTGAATAGTTGGGAATGCAGGCCTGCGCTCCCCCACCGCGCTTCTCGGGGCCCAGCATCTAAGAATCCCTTAATGTTGGCTCCTATAATATCCCACCACAGGCATCTTGTCTGTCTTTCGTTTTTCTCAAGGAAAGGCTGCATGGCAGCAGGACACAGGTGCACAAGAAATAGTTGCGGGGTGACTGAGCCAATCAGGTTCCAACCGTCACGAAAGAGCCTGGAAATGCGAGACGTGGCCGCAAGAGGGCGCTGCGGCTCCACGGAGCAGCCCACGGTGCGCGCATCCTCAGGAGCCCAGGCCGAGGGGTCCTCCCCACGGAAACTCTCTGCGATCCCCCACCCGGGCTCGCAACCTCGTGGGCTCCAGGTCTGCACCCCTGCACACTCCGGGTCGACACACTGGCCGACAGGTGTCTGCCACATTGAAGCTGTCAATACTCAGCGCAGGGCAACGTCCCGGAGCCTGAGCGTGGATTGCCTGGACATAAATTCAAACTCATGTTGTAACTTTTCTAGTTATTTCTATGGCCCGGGACTGAAGAGGGTAGTTAAGTTCCACCGGACACTAACAATGGATCTGCCACATGGTCATCATGAAGTAGATGCAGACCCCCCCGTGTCATTTGCTGCCTGTGACACACACACACACACACACACACACACACACACACACACACACACACACACGCGCATGCACACCGCCTCCGGTTCTTCCTGGACGACAGAACCAGATCCAGGAAGGGAACCTACTTTTCGTAAGCAGGTCCTCCGAAGGTCTTTGGATGGGGTGGGTGGGAGGGGCTTGCTGCCCAGTCTGGCAGCCTGGATTCGATCCCTGGGACCCGTCAGGCAGGAGAGAGCTGGCTCCCACAAATCGGGCTGGGCAGCTCCGTCAGCATCCTAATCTGGCCGCCTTCTCCCCCGTGGCTGTTCCCTTCTCCACACAAACGCAGCATCCGAGGATTACAGGAGATAAAGATTGGAAGAAACCTCCAGGGGGCGTTGTTGTCAGGCCAGCCGCGGTCCCAGACACCCGCTGCACACCCCAAAGTGGGGCCTGAGCAAACTACTTCCCTGCAGTCTCCCCACTGCTAAGATGACGGAGACGAGGCACAGCGTGGCTGGGTGGGTTCTCAAGATCACACAACCAAGGAATCATAAAAGCATCACACAGAGCCGGGCGGTGGCGGCGCGCGCCTTTAATCCCAGCACTCGGGAGGCAGAGGCGGGCGGATCTCTGTGAGTTCCAGACCAGCCTGGTCTACAGAGTGAGTTCCAGGACAGCCTCCAAAGCCACAGAGAAACCCTGTCTCGAAAAACCAAAAATAAATAAATAAATAAATAAATAAAAGCATCACACAGCCAAGGGATCATCATGAAAGCATCCTTAGGCCACACAGCCATCCATCCCCCGAGGTAGGCTCCCTAGCCAGGCCCCTGTGACTAAACGAAGGCTCAAAATTGTTTGCCAAGACCTCAGACCAGGGGAGGTCGTTCAAGCCTGTAATCCCAGCAACTGGGAGACTGAGATAGGACGATTGTCTAGGCGTTGCCAAGCTAGCCTGGGGTACATGGTAGTAAGACCTCAAAAGTCCTAACAAAACACAAGCACGGTGGCCCCTGCCTATGGCGGTGTCACTCTGGAAACTGAAGCAGGAGGGTCTCTGTGGGATCCAGCACAGCCTGGGCCCCCAACCTTCTCAAGACTTTGGGCTCCTGACCCCCACTAACTCTCAGGCGTGACACAGACTGGACGGACATGACCAGTCCTGAAGGACTAGGGACTGCGGACAGCCTGGTGATGCAGAGAGACCAGGACTCATTTCACTAAAGCTCTGCACCCTCTCTGCCAGGCTGTGCCCCTCTGATGGGCAGCTCTCCCCCTTCCTAGCTGTTTGCCCTTGGCTGGTTGCCTAACCTCTCTGAGCTTTGTTGGTGGGCATGTGCTGGCCGAGTTACTGTGTGAGTTCTCAGAGCAGTGCTTAGCAGATAGCATCAGCACACACACCAGCCTCCCTGCCCTTCATCTTCTGACAGGTAGAGCCTACCTCTGATTGGCTCCTCCTAGATCACATGGTGAGCCCGTGACTGCAAATCATTCTGGGAAACTGAGTTCTCCATATGTTTGGCATCTCAAAAGACAAGTGAAGCGCGACCCCAGGATCTCCCTGCTCCCCCAATGTAGAAATCTACAGGTAGGGAAAAAGAATGCCTAGGGTCGGCAAGGCGGCTCGGTGGTAAAGGAGCTTGCAGCCAAGCCTGACAACCTGAACTCAATTCCCGGAACCCACAGAGCACAAGAAGGGAACCAACTCCCAGAAACTGTCCTCTGACTGCCAAGGTGACCCGCCCCCTCATCCCTGGAGGCAAACAAACAACTACCTGTAACCTTTTAATTTATTTTTAATTTTTAAAATTTTTTTATTTTTTGGTTTTTACGAGACAGGGTTTCTCTGTATTGTTTTAGAGGCTATCGGTCCAGCCCAGCCTCGAACTCACAGAGATCCGCCTGCCTCTGCCTCCCCAGTGCTGGGATTAAAGGCGTGCGCCACCAACGCCCGGCCCCCACATTTCTAATTAAAAAGAAATGTTGAATGGCCCCTGAGGGGTTCTCAGGGGCCTGGAGCTTACGATGTGGCCAGAGCCCACCTCTCCTTGACTATAACCTTCAGTGGCTTCCATCGGTGTGGACAGATAAGGCAGCTGCCCCTTCCCCAGCGTGTCTGCTGCTGTCCTCGATGCTCCTACCTCAGGGCTCGCCACCACCTCTTCCCTCAGCTCCCACCCTCCCTCCACAGCGCCTCTCCTCACACCAGATATCACACTCCCTCCTCGGGAGGCCTGCCTTGATTTACCCCCATCTGAAACAGCACTGTGATCAGTTACCCTTCAAAAGTCTGTTGACGTGTCTGTATCCACCAGCAGGGGTCACCAGGCGGGGTCGGGGAAGACACGCTGTACCCCGTTTCCCCAGTAAGTATTTTTTTTTTCCAGACAGGGTTTCTTTGTGCCTTTGGAGGCTGTCCTGGAACTCGCTTGGTAGTCCAAGCTGGTCTCGAACTCACAGATGCCTGGGTGTCACATGGCCTCTGCCTAGCCAGGGGGAAGTAACCCTTATAGAACAATTGCCTTTGTTAACAAAAGGTTAAAGTGTTCCTTTGAATACTTTCTACCCCTCCCTAATACCTGTGCCTGACTTACACTGACAAGCATTTGCGGAATGCAACTGATGGAAAATTACAGCTTCGTCTTTACCTTATTTGGTGTATATTTGAGTTGAGACTTGATCGGCATGCTTGTACCGTCCCCTGAGATTCTCTTCCTATAAGAACCATCTCACCCCAAAAATAAACGCTCTTGATCAGCAAAAGTTGTCTTGAGCCTGCTTCCCTTAACCTCTTGAAGTTTACTTTTAAGATCGGATCTGCTCGTGAAGACCCACCAAATTAGTAGCGACCCTCATCACCTCATCCCCGCGGATCGGGGATCCCCTCCGGGGGATCCCCTCTGGGGATCGCAACTGGTGCCCAACGCGAGAAACGAGTTACAGACCACCAA